AGTCTGACTTGGCTTAGATATAACTACATAATTTGTTGGTACTCTGATTGACATGGGAATTTTATTCGTTTAGTATGACTCTAGGCAATGAGCAATAGGATCAGTCAACAGGCAATAGGATCATTGTGGATATCAAGATGGCCTGGCTGCGTCTCCTCTAGTGAGTTGCAGTGAATGTTGACAGCTTGTCTCGGCGATGAGTGAACAAACAAGCAGAAGATTCCGGTACAAATCTGATCAGTGAATGAAAGACCAGGCAGCGAGCATGCGCCGGGAGACTCTCACGACAACAAAGCCCTTCTTCTAGGTATTCATCCCATCCTCTTCACCTCTACTTCAACTTCCACGCCTCTCCGTCACTCCGAAAAACCTCATTTTCTTCCCATCAACAACCACTCCTACCACCTACTACACACCGAATACCTGTAACATCAATCGCCATGGCTCCTCCCAAGAACAAGACTGACGCGAACGTCATGTTCCTCTACATCTGTCTGATGAAGTCCGGAAAAGAGGTAACTCTCCTACAGATCCGAGAGACATGGCGCCAATACGGCCGTCACCTCGGAGCTACATTTATCTTTACAATTAGCTAACACGGAATGTGACGCCTACAGATCGACTTCAACGCCGTGGCCGAAGCCACCAATTTGAACCCTCCCGCGGCGCGTATGCGTTACTATCGCCTCAAGAAGGTCCTCGACCCCCAGATCATCGATGGCAAGGCGGACCTCACCAAGGCGGCGGCCGGCGAAGGTGACGCCTCTGAAGCTTCTCCTACTCCTTCGCCCCAGAAACAGCGTATCACCAAGCGCAAGAAGGTTGAGGAGCCCACTGTGAAGGGCGAAGAGGAAGCCCAGGGCAAGTGACTACGCCTTGGAGTGGATTTATCAGGAATGGAGATAAGGCGATACGATGGATCTTGTTGATCATCTGGAGGTGATATTCACGGGGATATGAAAGGAATGATTGGATGACCAGGAGGAATAGTCATTTGGAACGTGAGATCACCATGATAGCTCACAGTGCATTGGCCTGTCGTTCGTTAAGGACCGTTTGGTAGGTAGTTAGTCACAGCAGCTAGGGACTTAGCTCGCCAGCCAACAAAGACGTTTAACAGCCACGTGATTCAACGTGTATGCAGGGTTCCTGGGGCCAGCGGCTAGACTGTGATACAGACTGCATCCCCCTGTCATCCTGTCGAAGGGCGATGCAGTTGCGAAGAGTGTGATATCTGCCTTGAACAGTTGGAATCACACGGGGCTAGCCTAATGTGGTGAGAAGGGCCGATGCGTGATGATTAATCAGAACATACCCAAAGCAGTAATCTGGTATGGTCCTGTACAACTCCAGAGTCCTCCCACTTTCTTCCCTTCTCCTTTGGAACCGTGCTAATGTTTTTCTTTGTTGTGTCTCTCGGAAATCGATTCCTACCAACGGACTAAGATCATTGCGGAGCAATATCCGAACTTGTTAAGAGTCCCAAATAGAACTGGATCTGATCCCCGATCGCTGGACTAGTCCGTTAGTCGCGAGCCGGACTCGTGATAGTTTGCCCTTCTGGAGAGGCTAAATTCAGGAGACAGCTCCCCTATCGAGTCAGGTCGACCTGTCATGTCGCGCAATTTGCAAGGCAACTGCCTATCAGATTCTGCTGGTGCGTCAACGGTTTCTTTCCCAGGCGGATTCTTCTTATTGACGGTTCAGGGGATTGGTTATTACGTATCGTGGCTGCATTATCACACCCATACGAACGATGGCGGTCTGCTCGGATCCATCTGGTTCCACTGGTGCCTCTCACCACTCCCAACCTTATATCCCCTTCGGTGTTTCATCCTACGAGGATTGTCGATGGAGCTCCTCCTGTTCATGATGATCCATAAACGCCACCACTGTCCGGGAGATTAATCCTGGGGCCGTGAAGGTATTTCAGCCTTGGGAGTTGAGAGGACCCGGCTCTCCAGGCAGCCCGCTATGCCATCCGTTCATTGTCCCGTCGACGATCCCTCCCTAAGATGCCCATAGTCGCTCTGGTAGTTCATCTCGCACCCGCTAACTCGAACTAACTGCTGTTCCGCGTTCGTCGGCCCCATTCAACGCAATTTCCCGCTCGCTGACTGGCATAGCCTGGTCTCCTATTCTTGTCGAGCTCTCTCAACCATCGATCCACATTTCCGCGGATTGGACAGAGGTCGACTTGGTGCTTTCGATCCTTTACCCATCCCGCTGGATTCTCCCTTTTCAGGTCCTCTCGGTTTTTGTTCCAACTCCCCACTGGTAATAATACACGGGGGTTGTCTGAAAGATCACACGAGCTGCTGATCCCAGCTCAATGCCATTGCTGTCAGGTGGAGCCCAGTTGGCAGTGAGAGAAAACCGCAGCGACTAGTCTATGCATCACACATGACGGGAAAGACGTTAGGGCCCTAGCTGTGCACGTTCTGGCACACCGTGCCTAGGCATAGGTCGCGTCATGCAGCCGATCTTGTATTGTTCTCGATCAGATCAGGCACATCGGTGCACGCCCTCCCCCATGCCGCCGTTTTGGACCAGGGGGAAGAGATTGAAAACCTATTGGCCTCCGTCGGGTGATAATAAAAACCATGTCCTTTGTATCCCAACAGGTCCTGTCTACAGTAATCCATCCCGTCCCGTCGGTCCAGCCCCATCTGCTGGGACTTCCCCTGGAATCAGGAACAAGTATACGATCTGCAAACCAAGTGGAGGGACGTAAACTCTAGGCTCTTCCGTTCCGATCCCATGTTCATTATCCTTCTTGACCTTTTTTTCCCCCTCGGCCCCCGTCATTTTCTGGATTTTTCTCTTCTGAGCATGAGTTGTTGCGTCGGTCTGATATACTACCTGTACAGTGGGTAGATTCAACCCAAGCCCTAACGTTTGGATGATACCATGACAGCAGCTCAGATGTTAAGGCTTTCCCCATTCTCTCTTATATGACAGCGCTCTTTTGTACTCTTTTCTTCCTGTCCCTCCTTTACTAGGTCTCATGTCGACACAAAGCACATTCTTCTCTCACGCTCATTCACCTTTGCCTTTGACCGGTGATAGTCTTACCGTTGATCTACGTCTTACGACCCGTCGAGATGGTCGCGTTTAAGCGGTTTTTCCAGGCGGAAAAGAGCCCATCGGGCTCTCCAGGAGGGGACACTCGCGCAGGCAGTCTAAGACATGTTAGTCTTCCCTCCTCCAAGTCTGGAAGTATCAAAAGTGCCCGATCCCGTGGCGTCGAGCAGCAGTTCCATAAAATCGAAAAGCAATTCGAAGTCATGCACGACCAGTTGCAGGCTCGTCCAATGTCCCCTCGTTCCCAGGCGGCGCCCTCGCGGGGCTCCAGTCGACTGACCGAGCGAACACCGCGCCATGTTGACCTGCTGGACGCGCTGTTCTCGTCGCATCGGTACCACATGCAGTCGACGACCTCGTTGTCGCCAACGACGCCGTACAACGAAGACATCGCGGAGCGGAACATGACCCAGTTTCTCCAATGTCCGCCTCAGCCCCCGCCGCCGAAGAAAAATGTCTACAGTCGGCTTGTCTCTGCGTTGTACCAGGAAGACGTCGCAGACAGGAACATTTCACGAAATAAGAGTTTCCGTTCGTTGTCTCGCCGGAAGAGTGGTCGAAGCAGAGGGCGGAGCTTCCAGTCTACCTCGCAATACTCTCCGGATAGTCCTGGCTCTCGTCCACGATCCAGAGCAGATGAGAATCAGGCGTCGACGGCACCGCTTGGAAGAGCCCCAAGCTCGAAAGGCTCGTCCGCTGAGCCCGTCGAGGCTATAACCGCTTCACGGCAGACCACCCCGAATGGCAGCCCGCTCCGTCAACAGAGGTCGGCGCCAATGCTTCTCAGCGAACAGCAACATGAACCTAAAAGGGTGACTTCGGAACCGACCCTCCAGGTGCCGCCGTCATATAAACAGGGCAAACGATGGAGCAACACCCCTCTACCTGATAGCCCAACGTTGCCAATGATGGTGAGGCGGGACGCGGATCCCAACGAGAACCAACCCGTGCAAGAAACACAATCGAAGACGACCAGAAACCAAAACACGAGTCCGACTCCTCAAAGCCACCGACCGCCAATGGCCCCTAGGTCAGGGTCGAAGAAGAACGTACGGGACCTATCCATCGACACCGAACTAGCATCTCGTGGCCATTCTACAAAGATTGGCCACCGTGCTATCCAACCCCCAACTCCTAGCAACTACGAAATGAAGCAAACCCCCAACATCGCAGAGGTCATGAACAGCCCCTTGCCAGCTGCTACTCCCACGTCTCTATCCCCACTGCCCCCGACAGACCAGAAGATCGCCGAGATCATGGACATGTTCCGTCAGGCATACAGCTCTACCCAAGCGGTCACGCCCCATCCTACATTCGAGACTCTCCAAGATGCGATCATCCGGGAAATCAACTCCCACGAGGCCTTCCAGCGCGTCCCGGTCCCCAACCAAGGACCCCCTTTCACTCCCTCTCCCACCCAAGCATGCTTTGACCGCGCCGCCAGCGGCGCAAAATCCCCCGCCCCAGGATCAACCAGAACCCTCTCCTTGAAAGACAGCCAGCTCTCCAAGCTGATCAGACGGGGCTCCTTCAAGAAACACCGAGGGGGTTCGGAGGCGAACCGCAGTATCTCCACCAGCGTGCCATCGAAGGTCTTGCGCCGCCCCTCGGAAGCTACCACCCCAACCCGCCGACGACACACCGACGCTCCACCCCCCTCGCCGGGATTCTTCGACTCCATGGTTCCCCAGGAGGCCCCCCGCGAAGAACCAGTGACCTACATGGACATTCTCCTCCGCTCCCAGAAATCCGCCCCCGGCTTCCCATCCCGTCCCAACCCCGTTCCTGAACCCCCCAAGAATCTTGGTCACTCCCACTCCCTGGGCACGGTCTCCTTGCACAGCGCGTCGGACGCCGCCGCCTCGCCCTCGGTGTACTACATGCGCGCCCAGACCTCCGCTTCCTCCAGCGACAGCCACCCCAGCTTCTCCGTGGACGACAGTGACGAGGAGGTCATCCAGTTACCCAGCGTGGGTATCCCGCACGTCCAGATCCAGGGCGTCGACGAGAACAACGTAACCTACATCGCCGAGAACACCACACCGCAGAACGCATACCGGCTGATGAATTGGCCGCAGAAGGCCCGGCGGAGCGTCAGTCTCCGCGGGCATGTGCCTGCCGCGCATGAGAATCGCCATCAGCATCAGCACCATTCCTCGCGGCCTTCTTCAAAGGATAGTAGGAATGTGGTCCGCGGTGCGCGTTCAGTGGAGTCTTATTGAACGGATTCAGTGGGCATCTGAGGGTTTCTACCGGCGCTGGGATTCGGTTCTTCTTTTTTTTTTTTCCTTAAGGATACCATTTAGCCATCGTCTACATCTTGCATATCCTGCTAGTCTTTTTCCTTTCGTTACTTATACCATCGGTTATACCGTCGCTCTCTCAATATCTTTGTTTATCTCTACATTCTCGTCAAAATTCTGGTCTGTCCTGCATGCACATACTTTCTTTTCCTTGTCTTTTTTTTCGGTAGATTGGTCTTGCATACCTGCGTCTGTCCAAGTTTATTTCTTAAAACCTCGGTACTGACTAGTGCTGCTAAAACGGCACGTTCAAATAAAGATATCAGACGAAATATTTCGCTCAAACAATTAACCAGCGACAACTGTATTGTGTAGGGCCAAAACAAGTATGCTAATCACATGTGTGCCGGAGAGAACATTCGTAATCTTCAATGGACTTTTCGGCGGTTACACTTATACGTAGTAAATCGCAACAATCATAGGCGTGTCACAATCAAAGAGAAAAGAAAAAGAAAGAGAACTCGTGAATGTCATGGAACCAAATCAAAATGTACGACGCAAATGCTATTGATTCGATACGAGTGAAAAAATGAAAAGGATATTTAGCTTCGTTGCTATCGATCGTCTAATAGGAACCTGGTGGTTTCGTCAGTGTTTATTCTAGAATCTTTGATACTAGGGCAAGACTTACGTCCGAACATGCACCACTTCTCGGCCGTCCGGGTGCATTGGGGGTTGGTGCACTTGGTAACTCCGGGGGTGATGCCCTCGGGCTGGTCGAAGGGAATGCAAAGGGACTTGGCACCCATGCTTGGGGCACGGGCGTCCTGGGGCTCATCGGAGTCCTCCTCGGCCTTGCGGGCGCTCATGTCCTTGATCTGGTCCTCACACTCCTCGGTGAGACAGTGGGGGATGACACAGACGTTCTTCTCGTTGAGGGCGGGGACAAAGTCGTCCCAGTTGGTGATGATCTTGCGGTGAGAGCGGTACTCGTTGTCGGCACGAGTGAAAAGATCCTTCTGGATGGTTTCGAGCAGAGCGGGGACGGCGGTCGAAAGGTCGGAGATCTGGATGGTGCTCTTGCCCTCCCTACCGGGAATGTCACGGCGGGCTGCAGTGACAAAGTGGCCAGCGGACTCGCCAGGACCGAACTCAAGACGCAGAGGCACACCACGGAGCTCCCAGTCGTTGAACTTCCAACCGGGGGAGTAACCTTCACGCATGTCGCTGGTAGCGCGGACGCCGGCGGCCGTCAGGACGGTGGTGAGGCCGTCGATCTCAGCGTACAGCTTCTCGCGTTCCTCGTCGCTGGTCTTGGCGGTGATACCAACAGGGACGATGACGACCTGGGTCTCAGCCACGCGGGGAGGAAGGACCAGACCGTGGTTGTCACTGTGGATCATGACCATGACACCCAGAGTACGGGTGGACAGACCCCAGGAGTTCTGCCAGACGTGGATAGGGGGCTTCTTCTCGTCACCCTTGGCGGAGGGGTCCTCCACAGTGATGTTGAACATCTTGCTGAAGTTCTGTCCAAGACCGTGGGAGGTAGCACCCTGGATACCACGGCCAGTTGCAGGGATGTATCCCTCCACAGTGGTGGTGTAGAGACCACCGGCAAACTTCTCCTTTTCTGTCTTCTGACCCTTGACGACGGGAACGGCAAGGAGCTCTTCGTAGATCTTAGCGTAGAGATCGAGGATATACATGACCTCCTCGTGGGCAGCATCCTGGGTCAGATGCGCGGTATGGCCCTCCTGCCACAGGAATTCTCTGGTTCTGAGGAAAGGCTGGGGGTGCTTGAACTCCCACCGGACAACCGAGTTCCACTGGTTGAGACGAAGGGGCAGGTCACGGTGGCTACGGATCCACTTGGAGTAGTAAGGGTACATGACGGTTTCCGAGGTAGGACGGATGGCAATCTTCTTCTCGAGGGGAGTGGAGCCTCTGAAATAAGGATAAGGCGTCAGTACACGATGCTTCGAGGGAACTGGGAGATATCATACGCGTGAGTCACCCAGGCGACCTCAGCAGCAAAGCCTTCGATGTGATCCTTCTCTCTCTGCAAGACATCCTCGGAGACGAAGAGGGGGAAGGAACAGTTCTTCACCCCGATCTTCTTAATGTGCGTATTGAACCACTGCTGGATTTCCTCCCAAATGCTGTACGAAGCGGGCTGAGTCACGTTAGTTCCATACGACCCAAGAGACTCGACAAGAGGTCAAAGAGGAGGCGTAGCTACCTTCAGAATGAAGCATCCAGAAACATCGTAGTAGTCCAGCATATCACCCTTCGTGAGGACCTGTTGGTACCATCCGGGGAAATCCTCTTCCTTGGACACATCAATACCAATCAAGGCCGCACCGTCGATCTTCTTCTTAGCAGCCTTGGGAGCAGCCTTGGCCTGCTGCTGCTGCTTTCCCTTTTTCTCAGCCTTCTCGGATGCCTGCTTCGCGGCCTTGGCAGCCTTCTTCGCGGCGTTCTTCGAAATCTCCCCCTGGGGGGCGGCGTTATCGGCGGGGTTCATAGTGCGATCAGGGAGGGTTTGCGATTGTGCGGGGTCGGTAGGAGCCTGGCTGGCCATGACGGACGAGACGGCTGAAGAGAGAGAGAGAATAGCGGCCCGGAATGGTCAGCGAGTGGCAAAGAGAGAGCAATTGCCAAAGAAGAAGCGGGATGGAGAAAGAAGAAGGGAGGGAAGAGGGGCGACGATAGCGCGCAGCCCCTCTACAAAAAAAGTGCCATCCGCATGGGGGAAGTCCTCACCGCCCGGGGAACGGCAGAATTCTTAGCGCAAACACCAAAAGCAGCTCGGTCAGTTAACCCCCCCATCAGCTTCAGCGCTCTCCAGTTCTTGTATCCCCGTTTCTCCCTTCTTTTCACCTCTCGTTTCCTCGAACACTATAATGGCTGGTATTTTCGAGGCTCCGCGGAATGCGGACACTCTCTGTGAGCTTCTTCTCCCCTCTGGCGTCCCGTCTCCTGAACCCAGTAGCTGACCAATTTCGCACAGTCTTGGGCGGACAGAAAATCACTGGCTCCGATGTCCGTGAGCAGAACGGTATGTCGTGGAACGAAATCGAGTCCGTCGATTTGACCATAATGCTGAATTTCCGGTGTAGTTCTTGCCACGCAAGCCATTGCAAATGTCGTCAAGAGCTCTTTTGGCCCCTCCGGCCTGGATAAAATGATGGTGGATGATATCGGAGTGCGTACATGTTCGACCCCACGTTCCGGAATTTTGCCTGACGAGTATCCAGGATGTCACGGTGACCAACGACGGTGCGACCATTCTGAGCCTGCTTGATATCGAGCACCCCGCTGGCAAGATCCTTGTGGATCTGGCTCAGCAACAGGATAAGGAGGTGAGCTCACTCGTCATTGCTCAGACGCCGGGAAAGTCCAGCTCTTATTGTTGTATAATATAGGTCGGTGATGGCACCACGTCCGTCGTCCTAATTGCCGCAGAACTCCTCCGACGAGCCAACGAGTTGATGAAGAACCGCATACATCCCACGACTATCATCACCGGTTACCGGCTAGCCCTCCGCGAGGCCGTCAAATACATGAACGAGAACATCACCACGAAAGTCGAGACATTGGGGAAGGAGAGCTTGGTCAACATTGCCAAGACGTCGATGTCCAGCAAGATCATTGGTGCTGATGCCGATTTCTTTGCGAACCTGGTGGTTGATGCGATGTTGTTGGTGAAGACGACGAACCAGAGGAACGAGGTCAAATACCCGGTCAAGGCTGTGAACCTGCTCAAAGCCCATGGAAAGAGTGGCACGGAGTCTATGCTGGTGAATGGCTATGCTCTCAACTGCACGGTGGCTTCGCAGGCCATGAAGACCCGGATAACCGATGCGAAGATTGCCTGTCTGGATATGAACCTTCAAAAGGAGCGGATGAAGCTCGGCGTTCAGATTACGGTGGATGATCCCGATCAGCTGGAGAAGATCCGGGAGAGAGAAGCTGGTATTGTTTTGGAGCGGGTCGACATGATCTTGAAGTCCGGAGCCAACGTCGTTTTCACAACGAAGGGTATCGACGACATGGTCCTCAAGCTCTTCGTCGAGCGGGGTGCCATAGGCGTCCGCCGCTGCAAGAAGGAGGACCTTCGTCGCATCGCTAAGGCGACCGGCGCCACTCTGGTGAGCACGCTGTCCGACCTGAACGGAGATGAGAAGTTCGAGGCCTCGTACCTGGGACATGCGGAGGAGGTTGTTCAGGAGCGAATCTCCGATGACGAGTGCATTCTCGTCAAGGGCACCAAGGTCCACACCTCGGCTTCGATCATCCTGCGTGGCCCCAACGACTTCAGCTTGGACGAGATGGAGCGTTCCGTCCACGACTCCCTCTGCGCCGTCAAGCGTACCCTGGAAAGCGGTAGCATCGTCCCTGGCGGTGGTGCTGTCGAGACAGCCCTGCACATTTACCTCGAAGAATTCGCCGTCACCGTGGTACGTACTATTCAATCAATACTTATCTACAGTGCAAAATCCACTAACCAGTGTGGCATCTACAGGGCTCCCGGGAGCAGCTTGCCATCGGCGAGTTTGCCCAATCTCTCCTCACCGTTCCCAAGACGCTTGCTGTGAACGCTGCGAAAGACTCATCCGAACTCGTCGCCCAGCTCCGTGGTCGCCACGCGCGCTCCCAGAGCATCCAAGAGGGCGACCCCAACGTCGACGCCAAGACCGTCGCTAAGATGAAGGCCTACCGGAATTATGGTCTGGATCTGATGAAGGGACGGGTCCATGACTGCCTCAAGGCCGGTGTCCTGGAGCCTAGCATGGGTAAAGTTAAGCAGCTCAAGAGTGCTGTTGAGGCTTGCATTGCCATCATGCGTATCGACACCATGATCAAGCTAGACCCCGAGCAGAAGCAGGATGATGGACACGGCCATTAATTGACATGTTATCTGTTTCCCCTTCGGAGTTTCCTAGGGATGAAGAAGAAAAAAGTATAATAAGAGGTTATGAGTATAGATGTCTATGGCACTAGCTAGGTGCAAATGCACAGCATGACGTTCGAATTTGGTAGTGACAAATGGTCTGTACAGCTACGACAAAATGCAATCTAATACCTGGATTGATTTGAACTACTCGCCCTATAGGCAGTTGGCTTGGCCACACAACTATGAATGCGTTCCATGCCGAAGAAATGTATCAGAAATCACTCATTATAATGAAGAAAACAGGTAATTTGCTATGCAATGCAGATGCTGCCATAAAAAAGTACAACCCTGTAGATCATGACAATGACGCCCGCTAGATGAAAAGCAACTATGTCATAACGCCTGTAATGCATGCAACGCAAAGGGAATTGGCAAAGGAAACACCACTTTCACGTCAGAAATTGCCAGATCATTCGTCTTCGTCATCAAAGGAATCTTTAGTATCCGCCCAGCCACATTTCCAACGTCGACCTTCAGTCTCGCCGCCAGATCGAAGGTCTCTAGCTTGTGGACCTTCACGCCAGCACCGAGCGCTGCAATCATCACTCACTGTGATGAGTTCGCCATCCACTGTCCAGGATACAGCGGAAACTTCTTTCTTGTGGCCTTCGACCAACGGCGTGCCGGACCGGTAGATTGGAATGGTGTCCTCCAGGCGCCCCGCCAAACCTAATCCAGAATTTGTCCGACGCAGGCCAGAGCGGTTCGAATGGAACGGCGATCGATCACTTTCATCGTCCAGATTGACAGTCGGTTGTTGGACAGACGTCTGGAGATACCGCTCGTCCGTGGGGAAGAGCACAGGGCAATGGCTGCTGCTCCCGACAGCCAACATTTCTGGCTTATCAGCCATGGCTTTTCGCACTGCAGCTTTGACATAGAATGTAGCTACTTGCAGACGCGGGTGACGGAAACCATACAGGGGTCCAAGACCTTCTTTATCGGAGCCTCCCGAGCGACGTGGGCGGTTATTATTCAGTGAAAGTTCCGGTGCATGTCCAAGTACCAGATGCGACGTGGAATACGCGTACACGGTGCCGTCTCGGCAGAGTGTATACAGGCGAGATCCATCTCCACCGAGAGTCAACGAAGTAACACCAAAGCGTCTGTATTTCACGTGGCTCTCCGGTTCTCTGGTAGTGGAAACCGGGAGCACAGGGCGACCCCGACGATTGCTATGGGCCGTGCGCAAATCCCAAAGTCTGACACAAGCGTTTGCTTCAGACGCCGTGACAAATAGGTTTTCGCGGCCTTGAGGCAGGAAGGCCAGGGAGGTCACAGTTATATCAGAACGTCCAATCTGGTGCTCCGCCTTTTCAGCGGCAGATGTTTGGGGCATCCAAGCATGTGCCCCGTGAATCGTGTTCAAAACTTGAGGATAAATCATCTTCGAGGTTTGGGGGGCGGCTGTCTGCTCAGACTCGGAGTCAAGCGAGCATCGAACTTGTAGGCAAGGCTTTTCGAAGCCCTTGCACCGTAGATCCCAAATGTTCACATTCCCGTCACGACTGCACGTCGTAAGAACCTTATTGTTTGCTGATGGTTGGAATTGCACACGTTTCAAGGAGGAAACATGGTTGGAAAGGCAGTATATCGGTTTCTGGGTAGCCATATCAATGACTAGTGCTGTTTGATCACCCGAAGCTGTTGCGAGAAGCATGTCATCTGAAGAGAATTCTAGATCCATGATTGCGTTCATATGTGGATGGAACGAAAGGTATGCTTTAGAGAAGCCAGATTTATCGTCTTTTGCGGAGTCTAATAATCGGATGCCCCCTTCTTGGTCGCCGACTGCAACAAGTGTATTGGCTACACGACATTAGCAAGGTCGATAAACAGGACGATAACCGGATCCACTCACTGTTGCATGATGCTGTACAAAGCGGAAGGACAAGGCGGTCCCCTGATGGGTTCGTGCAGGCGTGGTTATCCGCGGACCCGGAGTAGAATGACGAAGTTAAGTCCTGCCAGCCTACAAAACACAGTAAGAACGTGATGTTGACAGGGAGATTGAGCCCAGGATGGAGGCCTACCAGCACCAGAATTGGCTCGTATTGTTAATCGGTTCGCCCGATCCCCTAGCACACTTCGCATGAAAAGACCCCCGGATGTCCGCAAGGCCTGTGACCGTTGAACAGGGGCCACTTTGCGGGATGGTCTAACAAGAGGAAGCGATTTCGGAAGCTCATTATGTCTCTCACTGCCAACATCCAGATCCCGAACCGGAACATCAAGCTCTTCGTCATCTTGAACCGGGGTCCTCATCCGCACCTTCCTCAGAGGAGAGGATTGCAGAGGGGAACCTATAGACGAGAAGGACAGCTTCCGTTTCCTGCTCGGCGTCCGAAGTAGATCGGATGGCTCAGGCCTAGCCCCCACAGCCTTCAGAGTTCGAGTAAAGGCTGGTCCTAAGCGATTGACAGCCGGCGAGCTGAGGGCCTTCAAGGCCTGTCGGTTGCTTCTCACACTACCCGCATTGTTCCCACCATTGAGGATGGACCGAGGCGTAAAGAATCGTCGAAAAGATCGGGGCGTGACCGGAGGGGGTTTCTTCGGTTTCCGTCGAACACCTGCATCGGATGCTATAGAGGGTGGTGAGGATGGGAGATCTTGGGACGACGGAGGAGGACAGAAGACGGGCTCGGAACGAGGGACTTCGGGGAGATCATGGTAGCCGTTCATTGTGCCCCAAAGCAACAGCAAAATTACAAAGACATTCTACGTGAACAAAAAAGAAAATGCACAGAGGGGATAAGACTGGGGACGGGGGAGAGAGGAGGGGGACGAAGGGGAAAAAAAGCGAGCTGGGGCTACTTGGACATGATGTGGAGTCAAGGAACATTGCTTGCTCGGTCGTGTCGTGTCGACGTGCTTTTTCGTGTCGCGGTCGCCCCCAACGGTAGGCGGTGAGCTTTCCCATTAAAGTGATTCTGACTGTCCAGATCAGGAAGGCGGTCGGTGTTTTCTCTCCAGAAATTTTAATTTTTTTCCCGCCGTGCCAAAAGTCTCCGCCAGAACTTTTTTTGTTCGGAAGAGCTTTGGGAGCCAGTTCAGGTCTTGTCTGTGCTCGCCTTTTCACCAACATGGCTCCAATCAAGCGCAAGGGTACCGCCGCTGAGGACGCTTCCTCAGCGCAAAAGCGTGCCCGAGTCGGAGCTGATGATCGCAAGCAAAACCAGAAGAAACAAAACACTGGTGATGCTCCCAAGGCTTCTGAGCTCACGGTGTTGCGTGAAGATGAACCGTCTTTCCCTCGTGGTGGTGGGAGTGTCTTGACCCCTCTTGAGCGCAAACAAATCCAAATTCAAGCGACCAAGGATGTGCTCTTCGAACAGAAAGGCGCCAAAGGCCCTTCCGCGGACTTCGAGGATGGAGATCAGGATGAAGATGCGGAGATGGAAGATGTTGACGACACAACGACTACGAAGAAGTCGCGGAAGCGCAAAAGCAAAGGGAAAAAAGACGCCAAAGCAGATGCCAAGGAGAAGGGTGTGCGAGTTGAAGGACTCAATTTCAAAGTACGGTCTATCTTTGCAATTCCTGGAAAAGGTGTGGCTAACAAACTCAGCGCATCGTTCCGGGGACTATGGTACTAGGACAGGTCTCGAGTATCAACGCCCATAATATCGGTCTTTCGTTGCCGAACAACCTTACCGGTTATGTTCCCTTGACGGCGATCTCGAAGAAGCTAGAGCAGAAGATTGAGGATATTCTGAAGGATGATGGCAGTGACGACGATGACGAGGACTCGGAGGACGACTCCCTCGACCTGGGTAAATACTTCTATTTGGGCCAGTATCTTCGCGCATATGTTGTCTCTGTTGGAAGCGACTCTGCCGATGCTCGCTCTAAACACAGAAAACGCATTGAGCTCTCTGTCGACCCACGACAGGCCAACTCTGGCCTCACGAAATCGGATATTGTGACCAACATTGCCGTTCAAGCGTCCGTTTTGAGCGTCGAGGACCATGGTTTGGTGATGGATTTGGGGATCGAAGGTTCCGACGTCAAGGGCTTCATGTCTTCGAAGGAAATTGACCCCAAGATTGATTACTCGAACATCAAGGAGGGATCTGTGTTCCTGTGCATGGTCACTGGCCAGAACGCCAATGGCAGTGTCATCAAGCTGTCTGCCAACCTCAACTCTTCTGGGTCCATCAAGAAGTCGCACTATCTCAGCTCGGCCCCGACAATCAATTCGTTCGTTCCCGGTACTGCGGCAGAGATTCTTCTCACCGAGGTTTCGTCAAACGGCATTGCTGGAAAGATCATGGGCATGTTGGATGCCACCGTGGATCTGGTACAGTCGGGTGGTAACTCTGGCAAAGATGATTTGGAGAAAAAGTTCAAGATCGGTGCTAAGGTCAAGGGTCGTCTTGTCTGCACCTTCCCTGCTTCTGAACCGTACAAGGTTGGATTCTCGCTGCTCGATCATGTCTGCAAGTTCACTTCGGATGGCAATGGTCCCGGTTCCTCCGACGATGCCCCCGCGGTCTCCGCCATCGTCCAGGAGGCAAAGGTGGTCAAGGTGGATCCCGGTCTCGGTGTTTACGTCCAGATCGGATCGACGAAACATATCGGCTTCGTCCATGTCTCGAGATTGGCGGATGGTCAGGTTGAAACTATCACCGAAGATCATGGCCCCTTCCAAACCGGCTCCGTTCATGAAGCTAGAGTCATCGGATATAACGCACTGGACAACCTCTACTTGCTCTCCTTTGAGAGGCAAGTCATCGACCAACCTTTCCTCCGCCTAGAGGATGTCACGGTTGGCGCAGTGGTCAAGGGCAAAATCGAGAAGTTGTTGATTGGGGCTGGTGGAGTGGATGGCCTAATCGTATCTTTGGCGGACGGTATCACCGGCCTCGTTCCGTCTATGCATTTTGCGGATGCACCTCTCCAATTTCCCGAGAAGAAATTCCGCGAAGGCATGACCGTTTCCGCTAGAATCTTGTCGGTCAATCTAGAGAAGCGACAGATCCGACTGACTCTGAAGAAGAGTCTACTGAATAGCGAATCGGCCATCTGGAAGGATTACGAATCTATCGTCCCTGGCGCCCAGTCTCCGGGTACCATCGTCAACATCCAGCCCCATGGCGCAGTTGTTCAGTTCTATGGCTCGGTCCGAGGCTTTCTTCCTGTATCCGAGATGAGCGAAGCCTACATCAAAGATCCTTCTCAACATTTCCGACTTGGTCAAGTAGTGAGCGTCCACGCACTCAGTGTGGAAGCCGCTTCCGGAAGACTGGCTGTCTCCTGCAAGGACCCCTCGACATTCACTGAAAGCTACAGGAAAGCATTCGAGAACATTCGCCCTGGATTACTTGTCACAGGAACGGTCTTCGAAAAATCAAGCGACGATGTGCTTCTCAAGCTGGATGAATTCGGGCTGGTGGCTCGGCTGACCCTTGAACATGTGTCCGACGGATCTCTCTCTAAGCAGAACTCCACCCTCTCGAAGATTCGTGTTGGCCAAAAACTCAACGATCTGCTTGTGCTTGATATCCAGCGGGGTAGGAGGCTCATCAAGGTCTCGGGCAGAGCAAGCCTTAAGAAGGCCGTCAAGCAAGGGCTTATCCCAGAGAACTTCGAGGATGTTCAAGAAGGGTCCGATGTCACTGGTTTCATCAGAAACATCACACTTGACGGAGTGTTCGTCGAGTTCTTGGGTGGCCTCATCGGTTTGGTCCCCAAACGGCTCGTCGGTGACGAAAATATTACCAAACCCAGTTTCGGCATGACTAAATCACAGATCGTCACTGCGACGGTACACTCTATTGATGTTGACTTCCGGAGATTCATTTTAAGCATGAACCCCGCCGAAGCAACTCGTGCCGGAGCTAAGAAGCCCGTTGCTAAGACCACACCCAAGGCTACTCCTTCGGACGACGCTGTCGCTAATGCTGTCGATGACGGTGTGAGCACTATGTCTGATTTCTCTTTCGGACGGGTCGTAAAATGCAAGGTGGTGTCGGTCAAAGCGACACAGGTTAACGTTCAGTTGGCAGACAACATCCAGGGGCGGATTGACGTCTCCGAAGTATTCGACAAGTTGGACGACATCAAGGATCGGAAACAGCCTCTGCGCTTTTTCCGGACTAAACAAGTAATCTCAGCCAGAATTTTGGGTATCCACGATGCTCGCAACCACAAGTTCCTCCCTATCAGCCATCGCACGGGCAAGTATCCCGTCTTTGAGCTTTCCGTCAAGCCGAGTTATTTGAAGGCATCCAACCCCACCCCTCTGAACTTGGAACAAGTCCAAGTTGGGTCCTCTTGGCTGGGCTTCATCAACAATGTTGCGGATGATTGTCTCTGGGTCAACCTATCACCCAATGTTCGTGGACGGCTACGTTTCATGGATGCATCTGACGACCTGTCGTTACTGGCCGATGTGGAGAAGAACTTCCCTGTCGGCTCGGCTGTTAAAGTACATGTCACAGCAGTTGACTCTCAGAAGGGTCGCTTGGATCTGTCCGCTAAACGGCGCTCCGACAAGCTCTCGTTCTCGGATATCTCAGTTGGTATGATTCTGCCTGGAAGAGTTACCAAGGTCACCGAGAGACAGGTTATCATGCAACTCACCGATACCATCGTGGGTGCTGTTGACTTGATTGACATGGCGGACGACTACACGAAGGCGAACCCGACGATTTATCAGAAGAATGAGGTGCTTCGTGCGTGCGTAGTTGCCGTTGACAAGGCTAACAAAAAGATCTCCTTGTCTCTCCGGCCGTCGAAGGTCCTGAGCTCGTCTCTCCCCGTCCAAGATCGCGAAATCACTTCCATGAAGGACCTCAAGGTGAACGATGTGGTACGCGGATTTGTTCGGAGAGTGGCTGACAGTGGATTGTTCGTCACCGTCGGCCACGGTGTCACTGTCTACGTCCGTGTCTCCGATCTCTCAGACTCCTATCTCAAAGAATGGAAGGACTCCTTCCAGGCTGATCAACTAGTCAAGGGTCGGATCACAGTGGTGGACCCCGAACACAACAAGTTACAAATGAGCTTGAAGGACTCCGTGCTGGACCCCGACTACAAGGCTCCTCTTACACTCAGCGACCTCAAGCCCGGCCAGATCGTTACCGGCAAGGTCCGTAAGGTCGAAGAGTTCGGTGCTTTCATTGTCATTGATCGCTCTGCAAACATCAGCGGTCTCTGCCATCGCAGTGAAATGGCGGAGAAACGGGTCGATGATGCTCGGACACTGTTTGAAGAAGGCGATGCTGTCAAGGCCAAAATTATCAAGATTGACCGCGAGCAAGGAAAGGTCTCTTTCGGTCTGAAGGCGTCCTACTTCGACAACGGTGAGGAAGATGGAGAAAGCAGCGGTGACGAGGATGAGTCTGAAGGCGTTAGTCTGGACGGCTTTGGTGGTATGGAGGTCGATGGAAGTGACGAGGAAGATGACGATAGTGACATGTCCATGGGCGGCATAGATATTGAGGGCGACAGCGGCAGCGACAGCGGCTCTGATGAGAGTGACGAGGAGGAAGGAGCAAAGGCGCCATCTAAACAGAAGGGCGGCCTCGGCTCTGGCGGTTTCGACTGGAGTGGCAATGTCCAAGATGACGAGGATGAGGCTATGGGATCGGACTCCGACGATGATGAGGAGTCACGGAAGAAGCGCAAGAAGCACCGCAAGCCCGAAATCCAAGTTGACCGGACCGGCGAACTGGACGCCAACGGACCCCAGTCCGTCGCCGACTACGAGCGCCTTTTGCTGGGTGAGCCTGACTCCTCACAGCTCTGGCTCCAGTACATGGCCTTCCAGCTGGAGCTGGGCGAGGTTGAGAAGACGAGGGAGATCGCTGAGCGTGCCCTTCGCACAATCACCATTGGACAGGATGCTGAGAAACTGAATATCTGGGTGGCGTTGCTCAACTTGGAAAACACCTATGGTAACGACGACACCCTTGAAGATGTGTTCAAGCGCGCGTGTCAGTACAACGATACCCAGGAGGTCTATGAGAGGATGATCAGCATTTATATCCAGTCTGGCAAGAACGAGGTGAGTTTCATGTTTCCGGTCTACACACGCGAGTTCCAGATTACTGACAGGTGTCTCTACAGAAAGCGGATGAGCTCTTCCAGACTGCTCTCAAGAAAAAGATCTTCCACTCTTCCAAGTTTTACCTCAACTACGCCTCCTTCCTTTTCGATACCATGGCTGATCCCGAGCGTGGCCGTGCTTTGCTGCCTCGTGCTCTGCAATCTCTGCCTTCTCACACGCATGTTGAGACGACGTCTAAGTTCGGACAGCTGGAGTTCCGCTCTGCTAACGGTGATGTCGAACGTGGTCGCACTGTCTTCGAAGGACTGCTGTCCTCTTTCCCCAAGCGCATTGATCTCTGGAATATCCTCCTTGACTTGGAGATCAAGGCCGGTGACGCGGAACAGGTCCGTCGCTTGTTTGAGCGTGTCCTTGGTATCCGCGATACCAAGAAGGGCGCAGTCTCTGTGGAAGAGAGCAAGAAGCTTCGCCCCAAGCAAGCCCGCTTCTTCTTCAAGAAATGGCTGGCTTTTGAGGAGAAGCTCGCCGCCGCCGATGGCGGAAACGAGAAGATGGTGGAAGACATCAAGGCCAAGGCCGCCGACTATGTCAAGTCTCTGCAAAAGGAATAACCCGGTCTTCTTTGTGTTTGTAATGACAGGTGTTAAGGTCATAGATACTGTATATAAAAAGCCTTCGAACGTGTTTTCTAGTTTCTCTGCGGATGTCAGAAGCAATAGAATTAGTGGATACCATTCAGCATGCATTGAACCAAAACGCTACTCGTATGTGCGGTCCTATAAACAGTGTTTGCTTCGAGTGATGAACATGGGAAATCTAAGACAATCCAAAGTAACAGAATGCTCATTTCCTCTTTTCCGCCATCATCTTCCGGTACTGCTCCACGATACTCCTTCTCTCCGCGGCGAGCTCTTCTCGCTGTCTCAAACTGCCTCCTGCAGCCGGGACGTTTGCAACGTCGACCTTGGCCCCGCCACGAACCTTGAAGATTTCTCGCGGCTTCGTCAGCTGTGGCGGCGCCTGGGCGACTTCCAGGGGATTTGCCGGTTTGTTCATTCGAGTTTTGTTGAGCTTCGCCCACGGGTCCAGGTCATCCGGGTTGAGACCCTTCTTGCCTGCGCCCTTCTTCTTGGCCTTGGCCTTGCCAGCCTCAGCCTGCCATTGCTTCCATAACTGTGTCTCCTCCTCTAATTCCCCCTCGCGCTCTTCCCGCTCCGCAGCCTCCCGCTCCTGGATTTCTTTCTCCTCCTTGCGCCATTGCTCCTGCAAGCGACGCAGGTGTTTCTCGTGCTTGGTCACGCGATGCTCGCGGATTTTGGGCAGATCCGACGGCGCAGGGTTGTTTGATCGCTTCATGCCCGAGATAGGCATTTCGCGGTCTACGCGCGCGGCGAAATCCGACAGCTTCTCGCCGGGAAGGATCTTGGGCATCGACTGCGGCGCCGACGCGGCGGTGACCGTTGACTCGGAGACATCTGCTGTTTTCTTCTTCCGCGACTTAGAGTTCTCCGCGGTCTCGTTGGGGTCGCGCTTGCGCTTCTTTTTGGGCTCTTCGGGGTCGGATTTTGGTTGCGTCCGCTGGGTTTGGAGCTGCATCAGCCGGCGGAAGGCTTTAGGCGTGTCATCTTCTAGGGCGGATTTGGGACGGGACTGCGCCTTGGATGCATCATTCTTTTTGGCATCTTGGGCTTTCTTCTTGTTTTTGGATTTGGATTTGGCGTTGGGGTCGCGGGCTGGGAGCGGTTTTGCGATCACTGAGGGAGGGAGATCGTAGGTGCTGCGATGGTTAGTATACCTATTATATGGGTGGATTGGATTTACCGAATATATTACCTGTCATCGTTCTTTCTGCGCTTGTGCTTGTGAGGCATTGTGACTGGCCGGGTTGTTCGTGGTGGTTGAAGATACTGCGAGGAGGTTTGGCGAACTTTTTTCTCGGCGAGATCAACTCCGTATCTTATCGATAAGCACCCACCTTGTACTTAGGTTTCATCTACGGCGTTTCTACGACAACCTTTCAACGACACATGGCTATGGAAGGTGTATGAATTGATTGACAGGTAAGTATGGCCTCTCTACATGTGTATAGCCTGGACTAACCACGTATTCCCAGTGTGGTTCGATATATAGAGTTTTGTATATATATCACTCTGGTATTCAGCACCAACCCACACCACTAGGCTCCCTCATTTCCGCGGAAAGCTACTTGCAGGCAAAGCTTCTATTACTGTCATCACGTCGAATGCGTCGAATGGGAATCGATGATCATATCCACATCTACTAGGCAACTCTCCGGCACAGTGATGGACCCTGACAGATTTCACACGACCAGCCGAATAACACTGATGCGCCAACTGGTCGGTTCCCCGAAGCACAGTTACACAGTTACACCGCATTAAGCCAAGCTTGAATGTGCAGGCTGCCATATTCTCCTCCGATTTACCCGGGGGTTAGGTTGCCTTCCAGAAGGAGTGGCGAGGACCAACCGTGGATCGCAATCGACTGGAGATATCCACGTAAGACCCTGGAGAATACTCGGTAGCCCTCCAAGCGATGCCTGGAGGATGAGGCAAAGACAAGATCTAGACCAAGTAAGGAGCATCGAACTCTCTGACGGACTCCTCTTGTTGGTACTCAGGCCGACGATTTGGTGGAAACCCGTCTGTTTGGCGTCGCTTGTCCAGGACCAATGACGTGTGTCTGAACCGCACATGGACCGTGGAGATTCTGGCGTTTAAATCCCTCGAGGAACCAGGCATTCTTCGGCTGGGTGACCCTCCCTCATCTCCCCGACCGGTATCGCCATATATAGCGCCGTTGGGGCTCTTCTAGAGATGATGACCCTCCTTCTTTACATCCCCATGGACTAGACGACGGCTCAATGTCTTATCGTCCCGCCGTTGCCCCGCATCTCTCCAACGCGTCTAGTACTGCGCACTCCGACAACTACACCAGCCAGTATCGCGACAGCGGGGAGGATGCGATCGACGGCGACAAGATCTACTCCCGCTTCGTGCTGAATCAGAGCGATCCCAGTCTCGATCGCAACGCCGCTTCCGACAGCCTATGGCATCGGGGTCTCGCCGCCATCTCTCCATTCGCATTCTCCGGCGACAAAGAGGCTGGTGATGCCGTCCCCTTGCTCTCTGCCACTGAATCTCAGTCAAGAACACCTCATAAACGACGCAGAAAGCTCAGACTATTTCGCTGCTTTCTGTATCCCTTTCTAGGATTTTTCCTCATGCTGTGAGTTGGCACCTGGAGAGCCCCCATCACTCAACACTCCCCTAACAATCACGACAGAGGGATCGTCCAATTCGTCGCCATTGCCTGCGGCATCATCGTCTCATTCTTCCCTGACGAATTCGAACGGGCCACCGACCGATGGCGACGACGCCCCGGCGACCTCCATGACGACATCTCGCATTGGCCCACGGACATTTCCAGGGACATCGTCCCCGTCGGCTGTCATTCGCACAATGACTACTGGCGAAAGGTGCCGCTCTTCTCGGCGCTGCAGGCCGGCTGTGTCGGCATCGAAGCAGACGTCTGGCTGTTCCACGACGATCTCTACGTGGGCCACACCACCTCCGCGCTCACGCCCAAGCGCACCCTGCGCACCATGTACATCGACCCGTTGCTGCGCATACTCGACCAGCAGAACCCCATCACCACCTTCCATCCGACCCTCGACACGCCCCGCCACGGCGTCTTCGACACCAACCCCGCCCAGACCCTCGTCCTGCTGATCGACTTCAAGACCGACGGCGTCGCCACCTGGCACCAGGTCGTCGCGCAGCTCGCCCCACTCCGCGAGCGTGGCTATCTCTCCCACTTCAACGGCTCCGCCGTCGTCGCCGGCCCCGTCACCATCGTCGGCACCGGCAACACCCCCTTCAATCTCGTCACCGCCAACGCCACCTACCGCGACATCTTCTTCGATGCGCCGCTGGAGCTCATGGCGGAGCGCGAGGCCGCTCCGCATGAGAAGAATGCGTCGGTGACGCGCTCGCGCTCCGCCGAGAACGCCGGCCAGGGCTTGTCGGGCATCCCGGCTGCCGACATCGCCCCCAGCTCCTTCAACTGGACCAATAGCTACTATGCCTCCGTCTCGTTCAAGAAGTCCATCGGGCTGCCGTGGTCGCTACGGCTGGACCACGCTCAGATCGAGAAGATCCGTGCCCAGATTCGCGGTGCCCACCGGCGCGGACTGAAGGTCCGGTATTGGGGGCTGCCTGGGTGGCCGCGCAGTCTGCGCAACCATTTGTGGAGTGTACTCGTCCGCGAAGGAGTGGATGTTCTCAACGTAGATGATCTGCAGAGTGCGACGCGGCAGGACTGGAAGCCGAAGGTTTCGGACTGGTGGAATTGAGTGGTGGGCGTGGGAAGGGGCGGCCATCGTGTAAGCACAGATGGCCGGTTTGTATATAGCAGGGCTTGTCTATGATTGGTGTACAGCTGCCGGTTTGATGGGTGTTATCGGAGTGTACGGCCGGGTGTTCTCTCGGGATAGAGATCTACTTGGTTGGTTTATATCGTTGAACTATATTGTTACAGGCAAATAGAAACTTTTGTGGGATTGATTCCTCGGTTGTTATGGACGGTAGCATTCAACATGATGTGTTTTGGGTATCATTAAGTATCATCAGGGATCCGTTTCCGGCCGGTCAGCCTGACCGACCCGAGAGCGCCTTGCATGTGAACAGAAAAGAAGTGGCGTATACACAAGTCTGTATGTGCCGACAGATGCAATATGAGACGAAATGCATGAGACGAATGCTTATAAGCAGAACAACGCTTCCTCTCCAAACTCATTAAATACTGTCCCCTCCTCACGCAAGATAGCTCCCAGCCAATCCTTGGCCGTCTCGAACTCATCCGCGCCAAACTTCACCAGGACAAAGCCGGCGCGCACGCGCGCCGCCGTGAAGGTGACCTTGGAATCGTAATTGGGGGTCGATTCCATAGCTGCAGGGCTAGATGAGGCCCAATTCCGCGACCCAATGCGCGGCTGCGACGTGAAGCGGTCCATGATGAAGTTGGCCAGACGCTCGTACACGGGGCCGTACAGGATGAGTGTGCCGACGATGCCGTGCGGCCGCGTCCGCTCGCGGATGAGTTCACTGCGGCTGATCGTCTCCTGGCCGGCCTCCAGACAGAGCTCGTCGAGCTCGTCTTCGAGGATGAGCGAGTCGCGGAGGAGGAGCTTGCGGGCGCCGGTGTTGCGGTTCACGCCCCAGACCTCGTTGCGGCCGCGCCACTGATGGAAATCCCAGTTCTCGCCGCGAGAGGTCCGCCCCTGCGCGACCCAGTCAAGGACGCAGAGACTGCTGGTGCTCCGATTCGTCGTCGTGCCCTTGGCCGGGGTGATGTCGACGGTGAAAGTTTGCAGCTGCTCGTAGCGGCTGTCTTTGTAGGGCACGGCGGGGTCGGGGAGGTAGCAGAGGGCGGCCTCGCGGCCGATGTTGACGTCGACAGATTGTCGGCTCTTGTCAGACAATGTGGGTGCTGGGGTGCCGCGTTGGCCCTTGGTGCTCGCATTGGGCTCTGTCTTGAAGATTTTGGTACTGCCTTGTGGGGTGGTGACAACCATTCGGGTCTGTGGCTCGAGGGTGATGGAGACGTCGATGTGGTCTCCGGGGAGGAGACCACCGCCGTAGGTGAGGAGGTAGAGATGGACGGGCCGAGAAGCAGGACAGGACAAGGCGGAGGATTGAGGTACATAGCCCGGGGCTCGTGTGAGAAGTTTGAGAGGGTATTTGTAGGTCAGGGTAGTCAGAGTCGGGTTGGATGGAGGGAGGAGGGAGAGGACCACGGTGCCTTGACCGGGCTTGGCGATGGAGGACTCGAAAGGAGATTTTATCGGCATGGCGGATGAAACGGATGATCTGCTGGAGGAAGTGTACTGTGTGAAGATCATGGGAAAGGGATGCTGCTGTCTCTCTATCTTCTGAATCAGTGTAGAGAGAGAAGAGAAATGCGACAGAGAAGGATAAGACGAGGTGGAGAGAGAGAAAAGCTTGGGCTGAGGGAACGAAGCGACGCTGTCCGCATGATATATCAGTCAGAATGGGCCGACGGAAAGACACAGCCTGTGTGGAATGGCGTCATGAAGAGGGTGAAGGTCTTTTTTTGGCGTCGAATCCCTTGTTTGATGCTGCCTTCTGGTTCCCCCGGGGGTAGCCAAACAACGGCAGACTTCCACTCAGCCGATACGTCTCCTGGGTCCTCCTGGCGTCCAGATCGCCGGCCGGAAGCGGGGTTTTGAAGCGCGTGAGTGTGCAGAGCCAATTTGCAGGTCTTGGCCGTCCCATACAGCGCAATGGCGGCGGTGGTGTGCAACGGACGATGGAGTCGAAGGTGGTTCTCATTACGGCATAATATTGTCTTCTCCGCAGAGGGTCCAGGGCTAGGGCTATGCGCCGCCCCCCATGACTCAGCCGCGCTAGGCCCCATTCGGCCACATGTGATCTCGTTTCCCTCCCGTAATCTTACCCCTGTCAGACCCTGTATTTTACCAAAATTACCACCATTTTCACCGCCTTCAGGCATTCAGGCACCGAACCTCCCGACACAACCCCCAGGCACCCAGGCATCAAGGCGCGTCGTCCTGCCGTCAAACCATCTCATCTCGCTCCGTCTTCTCCCCCGCCGTCCTCCTCCTCATCCCTCCTTCGAGTCCCACCGGGTCACCCTTCCCCTCGAAGCTGTCACTCACACATACTTGCGTCTTCTTGGCTCGGAATACAATTGCTTGTGCGGTTTTATTTCACCCCGTCCACTGCGGAACCGCCAAACGCGCGACGCGGGAAACAACCGCCAACTTTGACACCGCGTTGATTCCATCTGCTCGTCAACGTCAATAGAACTTTTAAATCCATTTAAGTACGCTAGACTCATTCTACCCCCTTTGAAGACGCGTGACTACGTGATTCAGCCCCCATGATTAACTTGTCGATTGTTACATAGTGTTCCATATCCGCGCCCAACATGGATACTGAGTCGCAACTGCCAGACCTTCATCCGGAGGCTACCCAAGACACCATCCCGCCTTCAACAGACCGAAGGAAGTCTGGACGCATGACCCGCAGACCCGAATTATACTCCAGCAGCTATGGCGACGCGACGGGCTCGAAGCGCAAGCGGGATCCCACCAACCCAGATAACGACGAAGACATAGACGATGACCAGGACGTGTCAGAATCCGACTCGGACGATGCGAATGATGACGAACCAGACGAGGAAGAATTGCGAGAACGGAAACGTGCCGCGCGCAAGGCTTCTCGGAGAACATCTGGGTCCAAGTCGAAACCCAAGCCTCGCAGTGCAAAGAAACCGAAGGTCGCTGCCAATGGAATTGGTAGTCAGCTAGCCTTTCGCCCCGCTGTCAATGGAAAGAAGTCGTCTAGAAAGCACAAAGTACGCCCCAGCTTGGCGGCTGGTGAAACGGGTCTCTATGGTAAGGCCTGCCTCTCATTCTCCGTCCATTTTGCAGTGTTGGCTAATTATACGCCTGCACCTCCAGCTGAGGTCTTTGGAAAGGGCCGCAATACCGAAACGACTGCAGCCGACTGGCTCACCCAGTACCAGAATAACCAGGTGGCTGCGATGAAAGCGATGGTCAACTTCGTCCTCCGATGTGCCGGAACATATGTCGAAGTGAACGATGATGCTATCAACGACCCAGACCACGCACCGGAGACGGTCGCGGACATCCAGGAACAATACAAGGAAGAAGGAATCTCCGAAGACTACCCTCTCGTCTCCAAGGCCCGGAAGTTCAGGGCGTTCAAGCCGGTTTTGGAAGATTTCTACCGCGCTCTCATCCAAACTCTCCACCATTCGTCGATCCTTTATGACGACCCAGCACTTTATGAAAATCTTCAAATCTGGCTCTCTGCATTGTCCTCTTGCCACTGTCGGCCTTTCCGGCATACTTCAACCGTGGCTGCCGTCGCGATCATGAACACCTTTTGCGACATTGCTCAGCAGTTGATGACCTCGCTTTCTACTTCCCGCAAGCAGCTCGAGAATGAAAAGAAAAAGAAGTCTGTCAACAAAGGTAGAGCGGCCGCTATCGAAGATGCAATTAAAGAAGGCGAGAAGAAGTTGGACATAGTGGATGAATACATCAAGGATGGTGTGAACATTGTGTTTGTCCACCGTTACCGTGACATCGATCCCATCATCCGCGCGGTGTGTCTCGCTGGACTGGGACAATGGATCCGCTCCTACAGGGAGTTCTTCATGGAGGGGCAGTTTCTGCGATACTTTGGATGGATTCTGTCGGACCCCTCTGTCCATGCAAGATCCGTTGTGCTAAATGAACTGAACAGCCTCTATGCCGACAAAGGTAATGTTGGGAGCCTGCACCCGTTTACTAGCCGCTTCCGCGAGAGAGTCGTTGAGGTGGCCGCTTTCGATACCGACGTCGGCGTGCGTGCCTCTGCCATTCAGTTAGCTGGTTACATGCGCAACGGTGAGCTGCTTGAGCCGGCTGATATCGATACGATTGGAAGACTCGTATTCGATGCAGAGCCTCGCATCCGCAAGGCGGCGGGTGGATTCTTTGCCTCCAACGTCGAGGATGTTTATGAATCGACAATTAAAGAAGTCCGTGATGAAGCTAATGACTTGTTTGGCGACGAGGATGAAGACGATTTCGAATCCCCCAAGCGCTCTTGGATCAAGTTCAAATGCCTTGCCGACATCCTTAGTGCCTACGACGAATCGGCCGAGGAACCTGAAGCTGACAGAGAGATTACTGCCCCAAGGGATGCTCTTTCAGGCACATCCGTGGATTCACGATTCATGCTGGCAACTGAAGCGATCTACCCACACCTCAAGGACCTTGCCCAATGGCAGACTTTGGCTGGATATCTTCTATACGACCATTCCCAGATTTCAGACGATCCCAGTGAGGATGATGCTGTTGGAACGGTCCGAAAACTATACAAGCTACAAGAAGGACAGGAAGCAATCCTCTTGGAAGTCTTGTGTTCGGCTGTCAAACTCCGCGTTCTTGAAATTGCTAAGTCCAACACTGACAGAAGAGGCCGAAAGGTCAAGGCCTTGGCTGACAAAATACCTGAACTTCAAGAGGAGATCGCACACAACCTCGCGCAAATCATACCGCAGTTGCTGAATAAGTTCGGCTCTGTACCAGAAGCCGCATCTACTGTTTTGCGCCTGGAACATCTGGTCGATCTTGAGAAGATTCAGGATATCCAGAAGGACGCCACCGCCTACATCTCATTGTTGAACGACATCAACAAGCAATTCCTCACTCACTCTGACCAGGATGTGCTCGCTGAGGCTAGCGTGGCTTTCTTGCACGCAAGAAGCTCCGATGACATGCGCGAAGCCTTGGACAGTAAAGTTCAGGAACTGTGGGAAAATATGGCGGAGACCCTCAATACCTTGTACCAGAAGAAGGAAGTCACTGAGGGCACATCGATATCCGCGCCGACTCTGAACAATCTCACCAACACCGTGATGCGAATCTTCAACCTCGCCAGTGTGACGGACTGCGTGCAGGCCCTAGAATCCATCCCTGCGCGGTCGAAAGGCAAGAAGAAAAATAGCTCAGAAGCACCTTTCGACATTCTCATGCACCTGGCCAAGCGTGGTCTGCGGGAAGATGAGGACGATGAGGAGATAGCCAACGCAGAAACGGAGCTGGTGACGTGCAGCATACGTACACTATTGCTCTACTTCATGTGGAAAGTCCAGTCTTTGACCGCTTCCCTGAATTCGGGCAACGCAAATTTGAACACTGCGTATTTCGAGACTTTGACCCAGAATCGCGAGACGTTTGTGACGACTCTGGTTGCTATCATGAAGCAACGTTCTGGCTTAGATGATATCCGTTTTGCGGCAACCACCAACCTCCTGGACCTCCAAACGTTATTTGGTACTCTCCGCCATGCAGGACAGATGGCAGCTAACGACGAGGATGTGCTTCTCCAAAAACAAAGCCTGATTCATGAAATCACTGGTGACCTTCAGTCCCTCATTACCAAGATTCACGGCATCGCGGAGCGCGCCTATATTAAGAAAATCCGTATTCCGATTGAGCCTGACGCTGAGGACGAGCCGCTGTCTGATTCCGATGTGGAGAAAGAGCCTGGTGATGACGAGGACGAATCCGATGCTGAAGATGAGGCCAAGATCAACGAGCGTCTGCGGTCTGGCATAGTGGCCGAACAACGACTTTGTGAACTGACTGGTAAAATCGTTCTGGCAATTATTGGCCGCATTATCGACGCATCCGGGCCCCATCGTGGTCAGTTGAAGAAAAAGCTATCTAAGCATAAGGATCACCTGGGCAGCAACTATCGCGAAGTCGTCGCCTTCCTGGCTGAGCCTAAACCAAAGAGCGCACGTTCCAGCAAACCCAAGAGCAAGCAATCTGCCGCAAAGGACAAAAGCGCCTCCAGCAAGCGGCCAGAGAACTCCAAGTCTGCGGAGAGGGTGGACGACGTGGACGACGAAGACGAACCTGAACAACGTCCTCATATCGAGGAAGATGATGAGGAAGATCTGCGCGCTCGAGGCCTTCTCGAGAACGATGACATTGATCGAGAGAATGAAGATGAGTTTGACAACCTCGTACCACCGGTTTCAGACGAGGACGAAGTTATGGGGGATTGATTGATTAATCTTCTCAGTATTTTCTGTTCTATTCTCTTTTCCTCTTATGTGGGTCTGACAACGGAATGCGGTTCTCTGGGATGTAGCTCGATATCACTGTGTTTTCTTGTCTATTTCTATCTGACCTTGACACTTTGCGAATGCTTCTCATTTGAAAGCACCTAGTTCGTTCCTGATATTTCTTCCATATCAGTGGGCGACATTACTTCCCCAGCTCGGTGTCTTGCGCTTTTGTGTGTGCTGGCGTAACCTTTGGAGTATTCTGATCCAATGCGAAGTTCTTCCAATGTACTCTATTTTGGCTGTATATACCGATATCTGATTTGTCAATCTCCTTCTAAACGACGATATTGGCCAGCAGGAATAGGGTCTGAGGAACCCCAAGCTAATATAGAAGAAGCGTTGCCGTGGATTGACCGAACATCGAGGCGAGAAACAACAAGGTAGACGTGCAGCATTCCGGGGTCATCAAAACTAGGGAGATCCATCGTACTTCCAACACACATGAAACTACGTCATCTAATGGAAATGCCGGAGGGAGCTGAACATTCAAAACGGACAATAGTGCATATGGAATTTGTAGTCTTTTGGACAGGATTGACGTTGGACCAGACCGGAGTTCACACGAAAGACCACCCGCACCAGCAGCCTTGTCCAAGGGGCCACGAAGAATAAACAGCAGAAACGAGGAAAGAAGTCGCACAAAAGATAAAGCCGAATCAACAAACAATTGCGCCTGTGTATGGGGATGCTACGACGGGAATCAAAAGGACATGGAGGGATACATGATGGTGAATCTTGTTTATCGTGACTGTCCAAATCGGGGCGAATTCATGGCAAAGGGTGAATTTTGGGGGAGGGGAGGGGGAGGGTACTGGAAAAAGGGATATAGCGTGAAAAGAATAATGGGTAGACAAACGTGTCTTGCTCGAAATCAGAATCGCAGGTCAAGAAGGGGAAAGCGGGGGTCAGATAACAAGAGAAAACGGAGGAAGAGAAATAGAGTCTGCGGTTTTCCCTTCTCGCTTCGGACACGTCAAGGACTGATAGTCGAGGGTTGGAGATAGGTCGGATATCAGAGCTTCATGAACGGTAAGGCGAACGGATTTTGGTCAATACGGAAGCTGATAAGGCTTGTCGTAGGGTCTAAAGGAAGCAGAATCAAAACAAGATATCCCATATCTCATTTGGCTCAAATTAATTGCATTTAATAACCCGCTTTTACATGTCCATAGAGTCGTTTCCGTTGGCGAAGTTGAATCCGCCGGGTTGCTGCTGGGCGGTGCCGAGAGTGAACCCGGTCTGCGTTTGTTGAGGAGCAAGCTCGTCAATGTCACCGCCAGCCTCGTCTTCGTCCGAGAAGTACTTCTCGATGATGTTGTAGGCCTTCATGTAGATCTCCTCGTTGGCGTTGTTCTGGCAGTCATGGATCTTCTCCATACCACCGGCCTCTTCGATGAACAAGGCATAGCGGTTGACGCGAGAATCGCCGCTCTGAGCAGCCTCCTTGTCCATCTCGCCAACCTTAAGGATGTTCTCAAGACCATCCAGCGCAACCTGGATGATCTTGTTGTCAGGGCAAGCGAGGAGGTCGCAAAGAGGCTTAATGCATCCTTGAGAAACGAGGTAGCGGATCTGATCGGGCTTCTGGAGACCACCAGAGGTGGCGTTGGATATGGCCCAGCAAGCTTCCTTGCGGGTCTTGAAGTCGCCATTGGCGAGCAGGTTGATCAATGGGGGAATGATACCGGCATCGACAACAGACTGGATCTGGCTGGAGTTACCAGCAGTGATGTTGGAGATGGTCCAGCAGGCCTCCTTGCGGATTCCATCCTTCGTGGAGCTCAGAAGGGACAGAAGGGCAGGAAGGGCACCACAGTTGATGATGACCTGAGTCTGGACATCATCACCGGTAACGATATTACCCACAGACCGCAGAGCGGGGGTCTGGACGGAAGTAGAAGCGTGCATAAGAAGTTCGACCAAACGGCGAGGGATGCCGGCCTCGATAACAGCCTGGATCTTGTCGTTGGCACCGTCGGAGAGGTAGGAGATGGCCCAGCAAGCGTCAATCAGGACCTCATCGTCAAGCATGTAGATGAGCTTAGCGAGGACAGGGAGAGCAGGGGCAATCTACACGAGGGCGTTAGATAAATACAGCGAGATTGATATGGGACTGGGACAACATACAGTGTTCCAATCAGGCTGAGGGGTCTTGCCACGGCAGAAGTTGCTCAGAGTCCACGTGGCGTTGCGGAGCATGCTCAGCTTCCGGCCATCATTGATCAGGTTCAGCAGAGGACGCAGGGCGCCAGCGTTGAGGACAAAGTCACGGCACTGAGGGCTGTCACCAGCAATGTTACCAAGAGCCCAGACGGCCTGTTCCCGGACGTCAGGCTCAGGGCTGCTCAGAAGCTCAACGAAGATGGGGACGGCGCCAGCCTCGATGACAACCTGGGTCTGCTGGGCAGAGCCGGAGGCGATGTTGGTCAAAGCCCAGGCGGCTTCGAACTGGACCAGGGTGTGGGGAGAGCGGAGGAACTCGACAAAGCGGCTCACAACTCCAGTCTCAATGACACGCTCGATGGGAGGATTCCGCTCCTTGGAAAGGAGCTTCCGGAACTTCGTTGTGGCTTGGATCTGGGACTCAATCTGATCGGAGAAGACGCCCTTGACCATCTCGGGCAGTTCGACATTGAGCTGAAACCATATTGTTAGTCTTTATTTCACCATCGATCAGAGATTCAATGAATAACAAAAAGTTTTCGATCGTGCTGGGGGTGAATGTGCTTCAAAGTGTGCAATATGAAACTATCCCGTAGCAACGGGAGATAGGGCGGTGAAAAGCTCGCCATAGCTGAGCCTATGATGGAAAAGCAAAATAAAGAGAGTGTGGGGGGAGAGGGACCGAAAAACAACAACAAAACAATGACAGGAGACAAGCATCAAATACATACCTCGCTTTCAATGGCGCTGGCCTCGTCATCACTCTCGGTGGCACCCATGCCACCGCCGACGCCAATACCACCATCCCGGGTCTGAATACCTCTCCTCTTGGCCAAGTTTTCATCTCTTTTTTGCTTCCGAATCTCGACTTGCTGTTCCTCACGACGACGACGGAGTTCGTCCGGCCGGAACTGGTTCCTGGCCTTGTATTGAGTGCGACGATGCTCGGGGATGTAGCGTTCCGCCATGGTTGCTTAGGGCACTGAGGGGTGAAAACAAAGCGGACGACGACGGATGAGGGAGAGCAGAAGGGGTGAGAGGGAGGAGGTTAAACGGAGCACGGGGGAGAGGAGTGGAGAATACAGGCAAGAGTATTCGAGAGAGATGGATGCCCGGTGGGAAAGAATATGAAGGGCAAACGAACAGCCTCAGAGGGGAGCGGGAGGAAAAGAGAGACGGGGAGGGAGGAGGGGAAAAAAGTGGTGATACGCCGGAGGTGGGAGGTCGCAAGTCACGGGATTGGCTGCTGGTTGCGGCCGCTCTCCACAAGCGCCACACCCGCCTAAGCGAACTTAACCGCCGACGCGTTGTATGCATCGCTTTTGTTGATGTTGTCGTGAAGACAGTCTCAGCGATGGATTTTCTCCTTTTCTAGTCTGCACAGGCGAACCATGGTGCCGGCCCCTGCCTCTTCCACGCGACTCCTCGACATCCCCACAGCCCTCACGTCATCCGGGTCGGTCAGCGTCGTCGGAGTGGTCGTTGACGTGTTTGGCGGCGTGTGGAAGTCTAAAGGCTCCTCCAGTTGCATTACATTCACCATTAAGGATTCTGACCTGAACAACGGGCACACCTGGGACGGGTTGAAGATCAAGTACTTTAAAGATGACGAGAGCCAACTGCCTCCCGTCCAGAACGGAGACGTAATACTACTCAGAGGCATCTGGGTTCGTTAATCACAGCAATTCGTTGCATCCAGACTACAGACTAACCCACTTCGCAGCTGAGACAATTCAATGGGAAACCACTGGGCGTAGTGGCTCAAGATCGAAATGCCCCCTGGGCAATCTTCCGTCATCATGCGGACCCTACAGCTACCGCGACTCCCCTCTGTGGGCCGGTCCCCTTTGAATTGACTCATCCCGAGACAAGACGTTGCCGGGCCCTGCTTGAACAAATGGCTGGGACGAAGAAGTTCCGCGATGAGACGACTCCAACGGTGGTGCCTTCCGCATCCTACAACGCGCTGGAATCAACCTCCATATCAACCCCCAAGTCACGACCGCGCGGGCAACGGGAATTCTCTCTCATCAAAGATCTTCGACGACCAGGCACTTTCGTGGATCTTGTATGCGAGATAATCAAGGTTGACACTCGTGACAGCTACAAGACTCTGGCGTATGTCACTGATTACACCTCCAACCGAAAGTTGCGAGCTTATGCTTCAGAAGATGACGTCGGTCTTGAAGGAGACCAATATAATTATCAGAGCTGGAAGACAACATGGCCGGGCCCCTCCGGCCAAATGACCCTTCCCGTGCTTCTCTGGGAGCCTCATGCAAGCTATGCCCGGGATCTGCTTAAAGGGGAGTTTGTTCAGCTCACCAATGTTCGCATCAAGGAGTATGACTCGAAGTTTGAGGGCGTCATTCACACAGACAATGACAATATCCACATAGAGCTGGTCGATGCTGCGAGCAATGACCGGGCCAAGGAACTGCTGCGGCGCAAGGAAATGTACTGGAAGCAGAATCCGAAACGAAAGGCAGTGGAAGAAGCCCGATCAGCCTCCAGAGCCAAAAAATCTAAAAACAAACCACGAAAGCCCGCGGAAGAGAGGAGGGAACAAGGCCAACACCCACTCGTTCTTAAGAAGCAGCCATCTGTTAACCAGAATGGTATGACAACCTCTACAAATGAACGGATCTATGGAGCTGATTTGTCCACAACGGCAGTCAAAGCAAGTTTTTTCACACCCTGCCGCACGATTGAAGATATCTTACACAATGAATCGCATAACAATATTTCCCCAGACGGTATCAGTTACCGCCTACCGTTCCAAAATCTCAGCTACCGATCCACCGTCCGCGTCGTTGACTTCTTTCCTCCTAAATTAGAGGATTTTGCGGTCCCGGAGGATTCCAGTAATGACCGTCGCTGGTCGAACGAACGTCCTATTCGATGGGAATGGCGCTTCTGTCTCCTCGTTGAGAGTGCCACTTCACCTCCCACCGGACAGCCGAGAGAGCGAATGAAACTATATGTTGATAACAATTCAGCGCAGTGTCTCCTAAGCCTTGATGCGTGCGAGTAAGTGCTAGCGTGCTGTGTTCCAGAAGTTACCGATTCTGACTTGAGTGTGTAACTTCAGCCTGCGGAGTAACAACGGCGCGTTGAAGGACCTTCGGGAGAAGCTATTCATTCTCTGGGGCGACTTAGAAGAGAAGAAGACGCAAGCTGCTGAAAAGTGCGAGCAAGACCACCAACGTAAAATCGGCCCCGTGTCTTCCCTCGCGTTTGATTGCTGCATCCAAGAGTATGGCGTTGTATGTGGCCACCGCGCAAGCGTGAACGATACCGACGAAGACGAAGCCGAGTGCACTCAAGATGACTGCTTCGGGTGGGAGCAGCGATACGCCATGTTTCAAACGACCATTCATTCTTGATTATTATACCCTGGAATATATTTTGATGTACTACTTTCCTGGATGCATTGCGGTATAGCAAGGCCGATGCTCTTCAATGTTTATACTTAAAGCATTCTACTAATGAAGCATTTGAATAAAATTACAGATAGGAAATAGAACAAGATCGGCGAACCCTAAAGACCCCTAAAACCACAAACATGATCAAAGGCCAGCATCGAAAGGTCATCCTACCTACTTTGCTGACATATGGCAGTATTGATACAGACTCCAAAACCGGAATGCTTATTGACAACAACGACGCGGAAAGCTTAGAATGGAGCAGAAAAAGATATTGTGCCGCAAATGAATGTACCGGGCGTGAAAGATTCAAAAGTCATAAACTAGGTAGATGGAGCAACGATGCAAATGTCATCCCTAAAATTTAATCATTTAATAGGACCGCCGACGCCAGATGGAGCGACATTTCGGACGAAGAAAGCAGGATCCGACGCGGTGAGTATATTGAAAGGCTAGACCTTTGTCACCTTAACAATATTTGTGTCGATACCATGTGCAGAGACATCGAAACGACAATTGTCGCCCCAAAAGCAGTCTTTTTTACCGGGCTCGCTCTGCGGACAGCGATGTCCATACATACATTCAGGATCATCGCAGTCTAAGCCGTACCGACACGGAGTCATGCGGGCAATAGCGGTCAGCACCAAGTGCTCAGACTTGGTCAGTTTGCGCGAATGATCATGGTGACAGTTGTCGTTGGGACATTCGCCTTGGAGGAAGTAGAAATTGCAGAGCTTCAACTTCTTGAGGCGGGTGATCTCGTCTCGGGGAATGGCCTTAAAATCCAGTCGATCTACGCGCTGGCCGTATCTGTTGCGTTCCACGATCTTAGGGAGGCTGTGGAGCCGATGATTTCGATCGCACCACCTGGAATTCGCCCAAGCTTGGGGGTACGGGCGGGCTCGGTCGATACGTGGGCGCTGTTTACCGTTCGATGTACTGGTCGAGGTACGTGTCATGGGGACGGCGGCCGGCTGGCTCGGCGACGGAGTGAGGTGGGAACGAGGTTTGCTTGCGACAGCCGCTTTCCAGGGTGCCCAAACGGTGATTTTGGAATCCCGGAAGAGATCGGAGAACTTGGTGATTCTGTAAGAGGGTTTGATGGCCTCCAGCTCTGATCCAAACGGCAGTCCCTCAATCAAAGACACGCGTCCTATGAGGTCTCTATCGATTAATGTTTCATTCAGAATCTGGGCGTATGCGTTGTCCTGCGAGCATCCCAGGAAAATCTGGTGGCAGTGACAGTTGTATAGGTTAAGTTTAAAGGCCTCTGCAAGACGTGAGCCGTGTGGTCAGCAACATCATCGTTAGAATGGAGAGCAAGAAGCACATACCCGCAATCTTATCATGCGCACTCTCCTTGTCAACTCCAATGTCCACCAGGTCAAACTGGGGGAAGCTCCCGTTGAAACCGCGGGCAAATTCCTCGATCAAGGACGGTTCTGTGGTAATCCCACCGCGGACACAGAGCTCACCCAAATTCTTCAGGTTGACGTACATCTTGGTTATTATCTTGGGGGAGTTGATGCCGGGGAAGCTGCCGGTGACATATTCCTGCAGTGCAGCATGCAGCTTTGCGGCGGCATTCCGACCTCCTTGCGCTCCCATTTGCAGATATTCGTCCTTGAACATGATACCGCCACCATCGAGAAGAACAACTATGAAGGGTTCACGATCCTGTAAGCGCGCGACAACAGCATTAGTCCAGTCTGCCGCGCAACAAGGGGGAGTCCTTAACGAGCTCACCATAATTGATTTGATTCTGGAGATCTGATCCATCAGCTCCATCTCATGGAGTTGAATATCACGATTAAACCGGGTTTCCCGTTCACGGTCTAATTTCTCGCGTTTGTATGCATCTTCAAGCTCGGTCACTCGTTCGAGGAGGTCCTGGACGATGAGGAAATCGACATGGTCAACGGATTGCTTTCGCGACATTCGGACGGAAATTAGCAGGAGTGGAAGCCTACCTCGATCAATGTGTTTTTCGCCTGTTCTATGGAGGTCAATTGCTTATAGCGTTCGTAGTACGCCGATGCAGTCATGGTGTTAGGATGGGGGTGTAGTGGGCGCTTAGAGGTGTGATGGGGATGCGATTTTGCGGAGAGAGGTCCGGAGATAGTCTTCAGACCGGAGGCGAGGTAGGTATTATTAGAAACGATGATGGAGGGAGATGGGACGTTTTATAGCGAGAGGTAGAGGAAAAAGAGAGAGGAAAGTGAAAGAAGAGGATGACTCTGAAGGAATTCACTCCAGTCCGATCGCCTTCACTTGACAGCAATAATAATTTTAACTTGGATTGATTTATAGAAACTCATTGGACCTGCAGATTCTACGGGCAAAAAAAGAGAGCTCCAATAATCATTGCAGGCGGTAAGCGTCCTCCACTCACAGTGTCGCATGGGGGAACAGATGACTCAGCGTGCGCTGTAAACGCCTACGTGGAGAAATCCATACAAACTCCCTCCCTGTTTGGAACATCCAACATCTGCCCTCCTCCTCTTCCTCCTCCCCCGCCCCCCTTCCTCCTCTTCTCTTCTTTCCTTCTTCCTGTCCTTCGTTTCACCGTCGGTTTATCTCTGGTCTTACTCTCCTGTCACAATGGCTCGCTTCAGCTTCCTGTCGTTGGCCTTGCTGTCCGTTCAGGCCTTGATTGGTGGTGGTCTGGCTGCTGTATGTTCTGGAATCTCTCCTCGCGGTGTCTGGCTCTCAATTGGGTTTGCTAACCGGTTAATTGCACTAATAGGGCTCTGCTGAGAAGGCCGAGCAGTCTGCCGATGCCCCTCAGCTGGCTCTGACCGCCAAAGCCTCCTTCCCTGCCTCGGAGATCTTTGGCGTGAAGCTGGTCAATGGACACCCTACTCAGGCCCTCATCACCTTTACCAACGATGAGCCGGCCCCTGTGACGGTGAACTTCCTCGGTGGCACTCTGTCCACTCTGGATGAGGAGAACAGCCAGATCGTCCGTAACCTGACCGCGACCCGCTATGGCGTGGAGATCCCCGCTGGCGAGACCGAGAGCCTGAGCTACAGCTTCACCAACGAGATGCACCCCCAGGATCTGAGACTGAGCCTCGCTTCTATCGTTTCCGACAGTGAGGGTCGTTTCTTCACCGTCTACGCCTACAACGGAACTGTCAGCGTCGTGGAACCGGAGACCAGCATTTTCGATCCTCAGATGTGAGTCTCGTTCGCTCGCCCTCCTGAAAGCTGCGCTGGATCGCTAACCGTCTACATTAGTATCTTCCTGTACTTCTTCCTCCTCGCTTCCTTCAGTGGTGTCGTCTACTTCTTCTACGCCGTGTGGATCGCCCCCTACTTCCCCCAGAAGCGCAAGGCCGGAAAGCCCGCCGAGAAGAAGGCCGCCGTCGCCAAGAAGCCCGAGGAGGAGACCCCCGCTGTCTCTTCGGCCACTACCTACAATGCCGAATGGATCCCCGACCACCACATCAACCGCCCTGGGGCCCGGAAGGTCAAGGGTCGCTCCCGCACCCGTGTCTAAGTGGCGCAGCCATGTTTTCAGGTCGAGTGGAACGAAGGGAGGACACGGAAGGACCTGTGGGTGTGTCCTATCATGGCGCTCCAACGTGTCGTTTCCGGTTGATTCTAGTGAACTTGAGGCTGTAGATGACTGAGAATGTGATCCGCCATAAGTTATTGCTACTATATATGACTGGAGCGTGTACATTTATTTATATGCTTGTGCCTTGTCAGTGTAGCTACTATAGCACCGCATGCAAGACAGCGTTCACGATTCGTGCCGGTCCCGTCAATGCTATTAATGTTCAGAAACAGATCCTCCAAACTGCCCACACAGTAATGATCGCGCCCCCCTCCCGATTACTGCATAAGAATTACGACAATTGTCAGTCTACCTCCGCTTCCACCGATCAAATTCCTCTGCCAGGTGTGCCTTCAGCCTAGAGAATCCGTTTCCAAAATTCTGCCTGCAAGCCCAGCAGACATAATCCTTCTTTAGATAGCCCTCGCGTTCCGGATATCTCCGAACGTCATCCTTCGCCAGCGGAAAATCCTCCAGAGGCACAAAGAACGGCGTCGAGAAACTATTGTAATGTTTCCTATGCTTCAACCGGTCACTATATCGATCGACCGATATGACATGCACATGTAGATGGTTCATGGACGGACGCGCATGAATGCCACACATGATCTCGCGCTCCCAGTCGCGCCCCGGGGGAAGCTCCTCCAGCGGCGGATCCGCATCCAGCGCCTGCTGTCGCTCTCGGTCCTGGGCTGAGAACTTGCCGTACTTCCGTCGCAGCTCGCCAGCCGCCAGAGTGCGCAGCTTCTTCGCTTCGGCCTTCACCTTGGCTAGGAACTCGGCGTCCTCGAAGGCGTCGAACGGGTGAAGATGGGTCTTGGACGGATCGCGCGGGAGCAGGAGAAGATGTAGCGACGACTTGGGAAAGAGGTCATGGATTGCGACGAAGTCATCGTTGTGGTAGATTACGACGCTGGTCGGATAGGTTTCTGGATGGGCGATGTAGGCGCCTAGGCCGTCGCGGGGGCCACCGAGGCGCTTCAGCTTTGCGCCGAGCGAGGATGAACTGTCGTGGCTGGGCTTTGGGTGCTTGGGTTTGGGGGCTAGGAGCTCTGCGACTGGATAGAGTTAACATCATGCAGTGCTAGAGAAATGTAGCGTTCCGTGAGGCGGAAGGGCTGCTATGCTTTGCGGGATGTCTGTCGCACGTACATGCGTCTCTCTTCGCGGGGTTCGCTGCATGTCTCTCGGAGATATCAGCGTCTGCAGGGCTCTCCTTGTTCATTTTGGGTAATCAACTGTTATAGAGTAGTTCAGGAGTCGACAACCCCAGCGGTGGTCGTTGCATGGCTGGTGGGAAGGATAGAGTCGAGTGAAGATATGCGGAGAGCTAGACCGCCGTCGGAAGTCTCCCCGCAAATGAAAAATAATCCAGTGCGGGACAGCCCAACATCATCTTCCACCAACACCCTTCCCCCATTTCGAGACTGACGAGCTCCACGGGCGTCAGATAATCGAACAATCGCCAGATTCACGGAGCAATGGGCCCCAAGAAGAAGGGCGACGCCCGTGGAGGTCCCAAACCCAGGGACCTAAGCAAGCCAAAGCTGCGGCTGAACGGTCGGCAGAAAACGGCGAAGAAACCGCAGGCGCCCACCGAGGAGCCCAAGAAGGCCATCTGTGAAGCAGATGATCGGAGGCGCCTCCTGGGACTGGCCAAGTTTGCCGGTGAATATGCTGTCGGAGCATTGTCAGAAGCAGAAATGGGAGAAGCCCGAGTATACAATGGTGAGTGCGCTGGAGAGACGTGCGACGCTGCGTTGCGCCGACAGTACGGGCCGGCTGATCTGATATCCTGTGTTGCAGAGCAAAACCCCCGAAGGTTACGTGTCGTCCGTCATTCTGAAGCGCGTCGATCCCAAGACTCGGGAAACCATCACACTGCCGCCGATGAGGCTGCCCCCGTCCCACAGGCACCTGGCGGCGCAAGCTACCGCGCTGGAAGCACGTCATTTCGCTGCAACATACGCGCTCTACCGGGTGTGTAACATGCGAAATCTGCACATGATGCTTCCACCGACGTATAAAGAGCTATGGAAGAATGAGTTCGCCCAGTTAAAGGCGGCGGATACAAAAGAAGGGAAGGGCTGGATGTACGAAGCCGACCCGTTTCTGGCGAAACAAGAACGTGAGAGTGCTGCCGCAGATCTGGAAAAGAAGCGGAAGGAGCGCGAAAAGACACAGGCCAAATCGAAAGAGACCAGGATCGATTTGGGTCTTGGATCGTCCGGTGGGGACAACAAAGGACGGAGGCTGTGGTCCAACGCCCCCAAGGTGGATTTGGGGAGCAAAGCGCGACGGGAGATTGAAGGGCTTCTGCGGCAACATGCGATATGGAATCCGTATAACGTGCGAATTCCTGAAGCCGAGTGCAAGACTATCATCAATGAGTTTACGGGGCTCGGCTTTCGCCGCAGCCATGTGGAAGAGGCCACTGCCGCATGCAAGGATCGCGAGGAAGTCCTCGAATGGCTTCTTATATACGTTCCTGAAGATGATCTTCCTAGTTGGTGTCTGCCAGAGGGGTACTCCGCTGGCGTGAGTCTTGCCAGTGATGACCTGGCAAGGGAGAGTAAGACCAAACGTCTTGCCTCTATGGGCTATCCTGCCGATATTTGCTCGCGGATTTTGGACAGCAACAAGGGCGACGAGCTTGCGGCGGCCGAGTTCCTGCAGACTACTCTGGTACACGGTGAAGTTTCCCCAGTCGGCTCTACGTCTTCGGACGAAGACTCTTGGGACGAGGAACAAGAAACCCTGGAAGCTATTTTTGGCGAGCGCTATTCGCGACGATCTCCCAAGGTCTGTGAGATTAAGGGCGAGGATTCGGACCTGTTCGAGGCTTTGAGCTTTCGATTCCAGAGACCATCGGGACATTACCCGTCCTCGGTGCCCGTTATCTCGATTCAGGCCAAGAGCATCCCTTCATATATACGACTCAGCGCCATCCGTCAAGCAGTGAAACATGCTGAGGAAAACTTCCTCGGGGAACCAATGATATATAATATCCTAGACTGGATGGAAAGCAATCTACCATTGATCATGGATAACCCAGGCAAACTGCGCGACATTTCCACCGTCACTGCATCTCAAACGACGACGGGAACCACCATGGAACTACCGACACGGCAGTCGCGTAAGAAAGCTAAGCAGCTCAGCTGGCAGCCAGAGTCTCCTCAGAGCGTCTCGCTCCGGGAGGCGTGGGAAGCTAGGCAAACTACCAAAGCGCAACAGGAAATGACTCGGAAGCGCCAGTCGCTTCCGGCATGGAACATCCAAGACGCTATAATAAGTGCTGTGAACACGAACCAAGTCACTATCATCTCTGGTGAGACTGGTAGCGGTAAGAGTACCCAGTCTGTCCAGTTCGTGCTGGACGATATGATCAGGCGTGGCCTGGGCGCCATTGCAAACATCGTGTGTACACAGCCCCGACGAATCTCTGCCCTTGGTCTAGCGGATCGAGTGAGTGATGAACGGTGCTCCTCAGTGGGTGATGAAGTCGGATATGTCATTCGAGGAGACTCCAAGGTCAAATCGGGCGTGACCAAGATCACATTCGTCACAACTGGTGTGCTACTTCGTCGGATCCAATCTGCAAGTGGCGCAGACGGCAATGTTGCGGGCTCTCTCTCCGATGTCACTCATGTGGTAGTCGATGAGGTCCATGAGCGGAGTCTCGACACGGACTTTCTGCTCGCCCTCTTGAGAGACGTCGTCCGTCACCGCAAGGATATCAAAATCATCCTGATGAGTGCCACCCTTGATGCCGATATCTTCATCAAGTACTTCGGTGGCCGTCAGAACGTGGGATTGGTGAACATCCCTGGTCGGACGTTCCCAGTCGAGGACTACTACCTCGACGACGTCGTCCGGGATACAGGATTCTCGCCCGAGCTGACCGAACGGGACTTCGAAGACGATATGCCGTCGTCTCAGGGCGAAGAGTCCCTCGGCAAGCTCCTCCGCAGTGTCGGCATGGGCATCAACTACGAGCTCATCGCATCCACCGTTCGATACATCGATGCCCAACTGGGTGATAAACCGGGAGGTATTTTGATCTTCTTACCGGGCACCCTGGAGATTGACCGGTGTCTAAACGCCGTGAAACGAATCCCCAATGCCCACCCTCTCCCTCTCCACGCCTCGCTCCTACCAGCCGAGCAACGGCGCGTCTTCCTCGCCCCTCCAAAGGGCAAACGCAAAGTCATTGCTGCGACCAACGTCGCCGAAACTTCCATCACGATCGAAGACGTCGTCGCCGTCATCGACACCGGCCGCGTCAAGGAGACCAGCTACGATCCGAAGGACAACATGGTGCGACTAAAAGAAGTCTGGGCGTCCCAGGCGGCTTGCAAGCAACGCCGCGGACGTGCTGGTCGAGTGCGGGCCGGCACATGCTACAAGCTCTATACGCGCAAAGCCGAAGCCAACATGGCCCCTCGCCCCGATCCAGAGATCCGCCGCGTCCCGTTAGAGCAGCTCTGCCTGTCCGTCAAATCCATGCAGGGCATTGACGACGTCGCAACTTTCCTCGCAAACACCATCACACCGCCCGAAAGCATCGCCGTCGAGGGAGCCCTCAGCTTCCTCCACCGCGTCGGAGCCCTGGACCACGACCGACTAACCGCGCTGGGCCGCTACCTCTCCATGATCCCGGCCGACCTACGCTGCGCAAAGCTCATGGTTTACGGCTCGATCTTCGGCTGCATCGACGCCTGCGTATCCATCGCCGCCATCCTCACCGTCAAGAGCCCCTTCGTGTCCCCGCGCGAACGCCGCGACGAGGCCGACGCCGCCCGCGCATCCTTCTCCCGCGGCGACGGCGACCTCCTCACCGACCTGGCCGCCTACCAGCAGTGGTCAGAGCGCGTGCAAGCCCATGGCTACTGGCAGACACAGTCCTGGTGCTCGGCCAACTTCCTCTCCCACCAGACCCTCCGCGACATCTCCTCCAACAAGGCCCAGTTCCTCACCTCCCTCAAGGACGCCAGCATCCTCCCCGTCGACTACGCCGAGTCTGACCCGCGCTGGAACCGCAACTCCAGCAACCGCAGCCTTCTGCGCGCCCTGGTCGCCGGCGCCTTCCAGCCGCAGCTCGCCCAGATCTCCTTCCCCGACAAGAAGTTTGCCAGCTCCGTCACCGGCACCGTGGAGATCGACCCGGACGCACGCACCATCAAGTACTTCAACCAGGAGAACGGCCGCGTCTTCATCCACCCCAGCTCGCTGCTCTTCTCGGCGCAGAGCTACTCCGGCGCCGCCGCGTACCTCAGCTATTTCTCCAAGATGGCCACCAGCAAGGTGTTCATCCGTGACTTGACCCGTAAGTTTTGGCCAGGAAGAGAGCATGTCGACTGGAATACCGCTAATTACTTACAGCGTTTAACGCATACGCTCTTCTTCTCTTCTGCGGTTCGATCGATCTGGATACCATGGGCCGCGGTCTGATCGTCGACGGCTGGCTCCGCCTTCGCGGCTGGGCACGCATCGGCGTGCTGGTTTCGCGTTTGCGGATGATGCTGGATGAGATCATTGCCGCTCGCATTGATCGTCCTCCTACTCTGACCGCTGTGGAGGACAAGTGTGGTGGGACTGATAGCACGGCGGATCAGGTGATTGAGGTTGTCAAAAGGTTGATTGAATTTAATGGATTGGATCAGTGAGGTTGGGTTTCTATGTTTCTTTGGGTCGGGGTAAATATCGCTTACCTTGGTTACACATAAACTGGTGACATAGCTTAGATATGGTGTCAGGTTCAGATTTACGGAGAAGACCAGGTTTGGTCAAAGCATGCATAAGATAAATCCAACTCAATTAGTTAGATAGACTCTACACCATAACCGGGGCACACATGAGATAAGAAGAGAAGAGGACAAGAACAGATAATGGTCCAAAACGAACAGGATAGACAGAAGGGAAGAAGATTAATGCGCCGAATCCTTCATAAAGCAAATCTCATGGAGCAAAAACCAACATAGGGGACACGTGCAGTCGTAACACAAGGGAATCGGTAAGAGAATTCAAAATGGGGAAGAAGAAGATAGACAAAGGAAACTGAAGACCAGGACATGACTGGGAAACCCGTGAGGAACCCCGACCCATTGCATTACCATATATTTTAACTCCTCTCCAACCAGATGTGATTCCACGTCTCTCATGTCATCCGACTTCATGAAAAGAAAACATACAAAGGAAATAAGGGATACCCAGGTGTATGTGGTCGCATACGGAGGGGTGGACCTGATCACGCACGCTTCCAATAGTCGAGCGTGGCAGAAGTGTCCTTGGGTGTCTCGGGGAGACGGAATCCCTTCCTCATCTCAGCCTCGACAAACAAGGAAGCACGCTTGAAACGCTTGTCCGTATACTTCTCGTAGATGGCGGCATGGTGCTTGCGAGGAAGCTCGCAGCACTCCATCATCAGCGAGATCAACGGAAGAAGCTGAGAATAGGTGTAGCCCGCATAGTGGACATGCGCATGACACTATAAGAAATTAGAACTCTGCGTAAGGCTAGGTGACATCTGAACTTACCCAGGTGCCTTTTCTCAACATCAGTCTCGCCAGGCAGTGAGCACCAGCAGCGGTGAAGCTAGGGGGACATCCGACAAAACGCTCATCCATGATCGTGATCTCCAAGAAGTATTTGGCGAGGGTTCGGGTCTCCAGATCGTAGTCATCAGCCTTGCTGATCTTCCGCAGGAAGCTCATCGGGCCGGGCCAGCCCAGCTCAAATTGCAGCATGCTGAGCATGAACCGTTCAGCCTTGAGGATTTCATCGACGGTGTAGCCTCCATCAACCATGTACACGATCTCCTGGACGGAGGGGCAGTTGATCTCTTCGTATTTGGCAGCGATAAAGATGGCTGTTGCGCCGACAAGCTGCAACTTTCCGAGGGACACAATCTTGCAGGAGAGAAAGCGATCGATGTAGTTAACACAGAGAAACAACGTCTCTGGGAGAAGGGAGAACCGGTGGTGAACCTGCACAAGCCAATCCATAAGGACGGAGCGCATGGACCACTGTATTTCCGCTTGGTTGTCCATGTAGTGAGCATTAGGCATCATTTTGATCTGCGATAGTGTAAGCGATGGGACAAAGGACTAGACCCGATTGTATGTTCGGCGGAGACGTACCTCTTGCTCCTTCATGTACTCAAAGATATCATCACTGTAATCAGCGACCATGCTTGTGTCCCAAAACTCATCCTCAATGTCTTCCACCGTCCGAGTAGCCTCCACGATCTGTTTGGCGAGAGCCAGCTCCCGCTTCACTTTCTGGGTGAACTTAGGGAAGAGAACCGTCGTGGTTCCTCCAGTGGTGTTGTCACCTCGAGAGCGGTACGCAGTGGCCGTGTTGTAGCCATCTTCATCCTCATTCTCGTCCTCCTCGTCATCCCAGTACTCTTCAGGCTCGGACGGTGCTGGGAGATGATCATGCACTGGATCCTGAGTCTTGACGCGTTCCTTGACATCTTGGACTTGACAGTCATCCTCCGTCTTTGAAACCTCGTTTTCCTCTTCAGTCTCTGAGTTGTCCGGCAGGTTGCTCACAATCTCAATCGATGTCTTGGAGGGGGCGATGGCCTCCTGGAGACTGTCCAGCTGCGACGGCGCGGAGGACGACGCTGGTAAATGGCCCTCAATGTTTTCTTCCTTTAATTCGGTTGTTTCCTTGGATGGGATTTCACGTTTCTCAGTCAACGGCTCCAACGAGTCTTTGAAGACGGTTCCGCGCTTGATGAGATGCTTCCGTGTGTTCGCAGTTTGTTGTAGACCGACGGTCTTTCCGGATTGCTCGAGGGGCTTCTGGGTGGCCACCGTGTTCAGCACACCCTTCACGCCCGACGTGGACAAGGGACGGTGGGCGGGCTGGGACAACACGGATGGTTTGCGCTCCACAATGAGGGCGGCTGGTTTCTCCAGGGCTTTGGACGATTTCTTGACGGCGAGGGCGGCATCGTCGCGGCTGCCTTGGACCGAATTGGTGGTATTGCTGACATCTCCGAAAGCGGCCCTCCGAGGACCATTATTCTTGGTGGTGCCGGTCTGGTACATCGTCGACAGGGCCGGTGTGGACTTGTTTCGCTGGTGAACGGTCTTGCCGGTAGCAAGCGGGAAGGGAGCGTTCTCGTCCGTTCGGACGCGAATTCTCTGGGGCTGCGATGAAAGCATGAGTGTCAGTGTCGAACGATTCAGGTTCTTCAGGCGACGCCTGGGCAGAAATGATGGGGCTGGTCGAGGGATTGCGCGTCGGCATTGTTGACATTGTTGGCTGAGAGTGCGTATATCTCCGACGAGATCGACGCAAACAAGAGCGAACTCGAAGAAAAACGAAGAAGACGTACCTTGGCATCCATCTTGTACCAGAGAGATATCTTGCAGCCCTTCACCAGACGATGGGAGCGTGCTGTTCTGGAGGGGGAAGTGGGCGAGGGGTGGTGGATGGGATTGTTTACTTCTTTGCTCGCAGCGAAGGAGTTTTGAGTGGTCGCAGTCGCAGCAACTAAGGTTATACTAAGTTCGGCCAAACCAAAACAATCCGACCCGCACCCAAGAACAAGGGCACGACAACGATGACAACGAGGACCGGAATGGGAGATGTCGCAGATGCTGTCCGAGGGAGATGATGGAGAGTCGCGACGGAATGAATTAATATCGAGCAGCGCAGAGGAATCCGCGACAAACAATAATATTTGGAGCTTCTCCGGGGAAACGAAAGGGCATGACTGCCTTACTTGGTTACCTCCAACAACGGGCCGGTTGCCGCTAAACCGCTTTCGGCGTTGTTGCGGAATGCTGAGGTCAGCCGCCCGTTTTGTGCAGTTTGTGCAGTTTGTGTTGTTTGTGCCGTTTGTGTCGTCGGGCGTCCCCCTCTTGATGACATCATTTGGCGCGTCTCCCCGCCAGCCCTATGGACTTCTTTGGCGTATTTCATCACCACAATCCACAAGGAATATCGGATGAAAGACAATCAAAATGCCCTCCATCTCTATGCGATCCATTCTATCTATTCATCTCTCTCCCATACCCCCACATGGTGCTGTATGCGACTCGAATTGCCTGGGCGCCCCCGACGCGCCGGGGGACACGCAGCCGACCCTGATTAAACGCGGTCCCACGTGATCGGGAACGCCCGCTTCCCGCCCACCGTCCGCTGTGCAATTGCGACGCATTTGGTAGGTCTGGAAGGCTGAGATCTGGGGTTGAGAGAAACTCCTGACCTACAGTAGTCATCTGTCCCAGACGCGGCACCTGATGCGACTCCGATAATCTGTTTTTGGACCGTTTGCGATGGGAACCCCCGGTGTTCAGCAAGTGTCGCATTGAAAGAGCAAGCATATGAGACGGGAGAGTCGGGAGAGAACCAGAGATTATATACTACCAGGTACCACGGGTTATGCCTGTTCCCTCCGGTTTTGTCGAAGAGGATATGGGCGTCTACTCATATATGGACCGGAGGGGTTGGCGTTCAGGTTTCTTTTTCTTCGCATGACCCGTTCGCACCCGTATCGCCGAAAAAGCCACAACTTTCCCCCCAAATGTGGGACGCGGATCCGGCGGTACCTATCATGAGCTTCGTCTTGTCCTCAGGCATCACCGGCCACTCTCGCAACCAACAGATGCATCGGGGCTCAGGTCACCCAAAGCATGGATCTTATTGTGGCCGGTGAGGCTATGCGACTACAGAGTAGAACGAGGGATCTCCATTCGCCACTATCAACAGCGCCGAGATGGAAGGATAATGAAACATCCATGATCGCAAACTTACGGTGAGGCCGGATGGACCGCTGGGACCAATTTACCCTTCATTCAGTTCCCCGCTCCCTATTCCGAAGAGAAAGAAAAGGATCTGATCTCTCTTTTCTCTACCTACTCCGTATTTCCCAGATTTATTGACACCCCACTATTTGATTTTCTTTTCGGCTGTCCGTAGGAAATCGCGGCAATAGTCGCCTATCCATCCAACGAACTAGTCGACTCCATCAGCAAACGCTTTCTTTCCCCCCACCCGGCTAACGGCAGTTTTTTCTGCGCCAGCTGGTCGCATCATAAGGGACTTTTCGTCGCTACCTGATGCGATCGCGAATGCGCAAAGGCGAACTTCGTCGCTCCGCGCCCACGCGACGCAGACATAATAGCAGATGCAATGCGCCGGGATATAAACCCCCCACCCCCAATCTCGCATCGCATAATACGCCCGCCATGAGGACCTGGCAAAGGAATCTGCCCCCCATCACACCCGACAGCGGACCTGCGCATAGGATATAAAAACAAGGGAGAGATGACCACCTGCGATAGCTGCAGGTGGAATGTAGAATGATCGGCCTCGTCCCGCGGTCACTACGTTGTCACGCTGTGGCCGAAGATGAATGGGGGATCGTTACGTAGTCGCCGTTCCGAGGAGGGGTAAGGACGACAAGTCTGGACAGGCGCAGATCATGAAACGAGGAAGCCATTGGGTGCTGTCGCTTCACCCATCCTGAGTCGTTTTCATGGTCGTACTTTCACCATACCGCGCCAGGCTGGAGTGGTTGGCTGTCGGGCGACAACGCATATATTGGGGAGGTTAGCGGGTACTGCGGTCGTCGTCCACCTCTCTTGGACAAAGGGACAAAAGCGACGGGAGACACTCAGGTTACACTTCATCACTCGTGCGAGTCATCCAAAAATCGATTCTAATCTACCTAATGGTGGGGGGAACACCTCGACTGCCCCATCTATCATCATCTGCGCTGGTCGCAATCAGCCGAACAGGGAAAGACTCCGTCATATTACTTCTTCCCTCCCGCTCATATGCACAAGCCTCCGCTCCCGGGCGAGCTATAATTCACACACGTTTTGTAAAAGAAAATCTCCCGTAAATAGAGGAGGAGGTGAATCATGACGGAAGGAGTCGCCTTCCCCTCGCAGTGGGTTCGGATGGGTTCTGGAGTGTCATTCGACGTGGCCGCGCCGATGGACCAGCCAACTGACGCCACTGCGATCTGTCGCCTTGGTCCGACCGGGGTTTAGGACAGACAAAATGAAAATGAATGAGAGAAATAGAGCTTAATCCGAGTCGGTCAGTATCTACGCAGGAGGCAAATTCTTACAATCCTCTCCAGAAACATTTGCGAAGCATTCGGCGATGATCTCTGTTTTGCGCCGGAGCCGGAGCGCTCAACCTTGGGGACATCGTTGGTCACATTCCGACCGGTCAGAGACTCAATCGGCCATGAAAGGTAGAAAAGGGCCTGGAGATGAAAACCGGTAGGGTTAGCGATCCAGAATCTTGTAGGTTGAACTTTGCTTTCCTTCGTGTTGTCTGGGAAGGGTGGATTCGAAATTCCGGTGTGGTCGTAATGCGATCCGGGAACAATGCGATCCTGGAACACCGCGATGCGATGAATAGGACACAGGGGAGGAAGCAACCGCTAGAAAATGGGAATAGATTCGCAAATACTTGTAGAAGCAAATGTCTATAGAAATAACCACGTACGACTTGACTGGCTGGTGTTGATGGTCTCTATGTCGCCGACCCCAGCGCCGGCGTGCTCGCTTTAGGTGAAACCCATCTGATCCGCACCCACTCACTCACTTCTCGCTCGCTCGCTCCTCTTCCCTCCTCAACCTCTCTCCTCGACCCCATCTGCTTCGCCCCTCGCCAACATCTTGACAACTCTTCAGTCAACCGTCACCTGGTAAGTCTATCTCATCATCCTGCTTAGTTTTTACCCTCGTCTACATTTCCCTTCCAGCCCTGACCCTCCTCGCTTCCGGTCGTTGATCGACGTCTGTGATGCCACCGCTGACATAGCCCAAGCGCTTCGTAGGCGACTCACTCCCACACCACCCACCACTTTGGCCTCGACCACAGCCATCGCCGACATCCTCCCGGTCGATTCGGATTTCTAGTAGCGGTGCGACACTGGATAAATAGCTTGATTCTGTGATAGGTGTGTCTTTGGTCCTCTCCACTGGCTTCCGAGACGTCGGGTCACTCCCAACTCTGCCAATCCATCAGGATTTCGACAGGGAAGGCGTCGACATTTCAAATCCATCCTGGCCTCTTCATAATCCATCCTCCTCCTCCATTGAATCATTATAGACCGGGTTGTGCTAACCTCTGGGGTGTCGGTCTTCCAGATTTCGACTGCCGGTTTCTTCCCTTTTCAGTCGCTTTCGGCTATTGCGACTTGGGGTTGTCTCCATCCCATCCACCACCCTGTACACCATCGATCATTCCATTAAAATAATCGCGGGTGATCCATCTATCCACTGAACCCTTCTGGTCTCCTTGTTGTGGTAGGTTTAGATGGACTTTACCCATAACCCTCTTCCTCCCCCCCGTCCTCGCTGCCTCTGCCCTCATTCCCCACCCACCTTCATCGCCTCCTCCCCGGGTCGTTCGAACAGCCGGTTGATACCCTCCTCCATGTAATAGCAGTGTGGTCGTCCTTCCTCCTGCATCTTTCCACCATGCAGGCTGTCCAGTATGAACGGCACTCGGGAGAGTCGCTCTCGTCGCCGGACCACCATGCGCCTCAGGAGTCTTCGCACAAGCACCCCGTTCCCAAGAACGTGGCCTTCGAGCTTCTCCTCGATGAGAACTCGAAAGTGCGGGCTCGCATACCCATGCGAGTGCAGATTTATCCGCATGATACCACGGACTCCATCGTGACTACCGTCAAGAATTTTTATGGGATTTACGATGGTACTGCCAGCGGTGTCAGTTTCGAGGATGAACATGGAATTACCCTGATTGCCAGGTATGAGAATCTGCGAAACAACATGACTGTCTACGTGCGGGTCATTCCCGTCCAGGCATATACAGAAGGTTACGGCGAGCGCTACTATGGCTCTCTGCCCGTTGAGGCTCGCAAGCGCCCGAGTCTTGGCGAGCCGTTCCAGATGGCGTCGGCCATGCCGCCGACACAGAGTCTAGACAACGGTCAACCTCCATCGCGACCAACTTCTAGACTGGCTCGGAAGCGCAGCATGTCTCCATCCGGCAGAAGCCGCCGGAGCGCCTCCCAGCACAAGCAGCTCTCCAAGACTGGTTCCAAGAGCCGGGGCTCGAGCGCCCATGGTAGCTTCCATGATGATGCCACCGCTGGCGCGAGCGATAGCGAGGGGGGCTATGGCTCCGTCTCAGGAGCCAAGAAGTCTCGCAGTGAGCAACTCGGTAGCTCAGATATCAGCATGGAGAATATCCTCCAAGACGGTCGCCGGAAGCGGCCCAAGTTTGAAAGTTCGGTGAGCGATTGACGGTCTTTCCACCTGTCGCGTCCATGTGCTCGACTAATCTCTGTGTCCATCCAGGAATTGCCTTTGTTTGTTCCTCCCCAAGTTCCCCTTACCACCTCTACCTCATCCATCTCCCCCCAGCGTCGGTCGGTCGGCCAAGAAGGAGCCGGCTCGCCGTTCGCCCGCCCTACCCAGCGCCCATACAACTACCAACAGCCCCTCCCGTCGCCGCAAAGTTATGGACATAATGAGCAAGCGTATGGGTACGGTCATGCCCGCGGCCCTATGTATGCTACCCCCATGGTTCCCGAACATGGGCACCGCTTGCGCGACCGAACTGCGACCCAGTCTTCTGGGCAGTTCAGTAATCCGGCAGGCATGGGCAGTGCACCCGGGATTCTTCCTACCCCCGACCCCACCATTGCCAGCTGTATCTCTGACGAGGATGTTGCCATGCAATTGATTCGCCTCGGAGATGCGTCGAATTTCTCTCATGGTCGCACGTCGGCGTCTACCCTCGACGACGCCTTCAGCGGGGCCGCCGATGCAGCGTCGTCCACAGGTGCCACCAGCGACGGCGAAGACTTCAGTGAGGATGACGATGACCTGCCTGCGCGAAGCCGACAGCGGTTAGAGTCCAGCCCGATGCTTCCGCCGGGGGCTACCAAGCACACCCACAAGCGTTTGGACGATATCCTTCCTAGCTTCGACAGTTCCGAAGCCAGCTATGATGGCTACGACGAGGAGCCCCACCACATCGGGCCCAACGAGCATGTGATCAAGGATGAGACTGATGACGACACCTTGTACAAAGAGTCTGCCCCCAAGTCAAAGAAGCCCAAGAACCGGGCCACCAGCACGGCGTCCAGCAAAGCGCGGGGACCCAAGCCGCCGTCGGCTGTGCGCCCGCCCAAGAACAGCAAGATTACGTCCAACGCGGCTCCTCGCAAGCCGAAGCCATCTACCACCACTACTACCCAGAAAACTGTGGTGTCGCCGCAGATGACGAGCCCCGGCCCGGCTCGGAAGACGTCCACCTCGTCTGTCAACTTCCAGCATCAGTTGGCGGCGGACGAGGAGGACCTGTCGACGAAGCCTCGTTGCCAGCGCTGCCGCAAGAGCAAGAAGGGCTGCGACCGTCAACGTCCTTGCGGACGGTGCAAGGATGCCGGGATCGGTCTGGAAGGCTGTATCAGCGAGGATGAGGGGAATGGCCGCAAAGGCCGCTATGGTCGTCACATGGGCGTCCCGGTCAAGAAAGCCCTTGAGGTTTCAGCCACCAACGACACTCTGCCTCTGGTGGCGGCCGCGGCTCCGCTCAGTGCTGCTTTGGCCGACAAGAACAAGAAACGCAAGCGGTAGAGGATGGATATCGCCATACCGGCGACGTTGTCCTCCGGGCGACCATAGAGTGTGACTATCTCCTCATCACATGATACGTCCCCTTCAAACACGATTCAAGTGCATCCGACTTCCCTCTTTCCTTTATCCTGACGTGATCGTCTCATCTGCCCTGACCCTAGCCAGAACGATGGCATATACCTAGTAAGAAATTCCGACGAGTTCCCAGGTTGTGTATCACGGTTGGCTGTTCTATCTCGTTTGATTCGACGCGGATGTCGAATCGGGTTTTGTGGTGCGGGCTTCGCGTGGGAGCAAGTTGTTGCTCCTGACATTCCTTCTCATCTTGCGGCTGCTGCATTGGCTTGTTTCTAAATCATGGAGAGTCTAGCGTTTGAACTGAGCGGGTTGATTGATTGATTGTGTATCTTTGTCGAGGATGTGGTTTTTGGCGTTGATATTGTTGCGGTCGAGCTCACTGTCATATACATTCCTTATTAGTTTTGTTTTATTCATTTATTTACCATTATATGCTTGGCTTGTCTGTATGTTCAGCGCGGGTTGATTGATAGTACTGGGGAGGTCGTATATGTTGTGCATGGGCATAGATTATGTAATGGTTACATAGCCCCACCGATGAACCACATCTTTTTTTTGACTTCTGACTCTGATATCGACTGCTCTTCCAACTCATTCTTCTCTCGCCCTACACCTCTGCCCTCTCTCTACTTCCTACTCCCTTGCTGTCCTCCCTCTCAATCCTCTTCTCATCACCTCCTAACCCACCAAAATCTCCAATCGAGCATACCCTCCACCCACGACCCATCTACAACCACAGCACACCCATACCACGATGCCTCCCAAGGCCCCTCCCCGTCGAGGGGCAGCGTCCTCCGCCGGCGCAGGCACTTCCCGACCACCAGCTACACAAACCCCAACCCCAGCACCAACAGGCACTCGCGCACCGGTGCAACGCCTCCAAACGCTCAAGAAACGCACCCCCTCCGGCAGCATCGGGCCGTCTGCCGCGCGAGCCACACCCGCCGGCCCCAGCGGCGACGCGCCCAAGCCGACGCTCAAATACAAGCCGCGCGCCGTGGGCCGACGCAGCAAGGAAGAGCGCGAGGCGATCGAGAAGCTCGAGGCGGAGCGCCACCGCGAGCGACTCGCAGAGGCGGCAGCCATCCAGCGCGGGCGGGGCGGCCACCGCGGACGCGGCGGGGGACGCGGGCGGGGTGATGGAGCGCGCCGAGGCCGCGGCGGGTTCGCGGCGCGGTTTGCGGACTCGCGGGCGTCGTCGATGTCGCGGCGCAGTCGGTCCGTGATTGACCTCGGCAGTCGCGGGGTGAGTCGCGACGTGTCATCGGACGAGAGCGACACTGAGGTGCGCATCAGCATCGACCAGATCAACTTGGACAGCGACGATGACGAGACCCCGGCCGACGGGAAGAAGGGCAAGATGGCGGTGAAGAGCGAGGGCCGCGCCGGCGCCGGCGGTGGAGAGCGCGGCCTGCGGCCGGTGCGGGTCGAGCGGCATGAGCATGAGGAGCGGGTGGTCAGTGTCAATATGGAGTCGAGCTCAAGCAAGTCGGCGGAGCTGCGCGAGCAGGCCAAGGCCAAGGCGAAGGAGGCGGATAATGCGTTGTTTGTGCCAGCGGAGGGGGCCGAACCGCGGGTCAAGGAGGAGCCCGAGGATGACGAGGATCGCGTGATGACGGATGTTGCGGCGCATGAGGAGGGCGAGGGCGAGGCGGGCGGGGACGATGGCTTCCTCCCCAAGCAGAAGGTCAAGGTGCGCCGGAAGCTGTCGCGCGAGCCGGCGTCGTCGCCGGTGGAGCCGGAGCCGCAGCCGGAGGAGACGCCTGCTGTGCTGGATCCGAAGAGTCTGCTGCGCACCAAGGAGGATGTGGAGGAGTACGAGCGCCATGATAAGGACCTAGAGCTGATGCGGGAGCTGCTGTCACGGGAGAAGGAGGAAGCTGGGAAAGCGAAGGAGGTGTCTGCGGCGGGCGAGCAGCCGGAGGCTGCGGCGGCGGAGGGTGCAGAGACGGCCGCTGCGGACGGCGAGAAGAAGGACGGGGAAGACGCAGAAGACGAGGCCGCGAAAGACAAGCTGGCTGGACATCTCTTCCTGGTGCAATTCCCGCCAATCACGCCCAGCCTGGTCGTGCCCGACGGCGAGAATCCCGCTGTCGAGGGCGCCGCAGACGCGACAGCCCCTGCGCCGGGCGACGCCACCGATCCGGCGATCAAACGGGAGGAGGATGTGGAGCTTCTGGATGATGCGGACGACGCAGCCGGCGGACAGAAGACATCGCAGATCGTCACTGCGACGGACCGACAGCTTCGCGCGGGGCGCGTGGGCAAGCTGAACGTCCATGCCTCGGGTCGCGTGACGATGGACTGGGGCGGGATCAGCTTTGAGCTGGATCGCGCGACGGAGGTGGACTTCCTGCAGGAGGCATTGATTGTGTCGGCGGCGCCAGACGCAGCGGAGCCTGAGGAAGAGAACAAGGTGTGGGCGATGGGCCAGCTGAGCGGCAAGTTTACGGTGACGCCGAACTGGGAGGAGATGCTCTGAGTGTAGATAGACGCTAGTCGATGAAAAGCCATGATACCATGTTGCAATATGACAGGAAGGCATTTTACATTCATAAAAACGTACATGTCGTATACTAGTTAGACTATCATGGCCTAGTAACCCAATAACGCGTCCGACGGAGACCGTATAGATCAGACAATGGCAGGTTCAGCCCTCCTGTTACGATCTCCCATTCGTGCTATGCTTATACACTTCACCAACTACACAGTGAGCAATATATCTCAGTAGGACATCACAGAGCCGACTTTCTCTTCGTATACCCAGCCGTCCAGAACCCAGGCCACTCACTGGGCAGCTCCTCCACAATAAACCGGAAGATAGCAGCATGCACCTCGTCCGGCTTTTCGAACTGGACGAAATGGCCCGCCTCCACGGTGACCTCAGTCAAGTTGCTGCACGCCTCTCTCATAGGCTCAATGAGACGCGACGTCTTCGTATCGCACGTCGTGTCCCACGTGGCGTGGATGAACAGAACCGGCTGGGAGAGCTTCGCCTCCCGCGTTCCATTGTACTCCGCATTGCGCGCATGGTGCAGGTAGTACGCCGAGCCGGGCCAGAACCCGGTCTTCTGCATATCCCCCACAAACGCGTCGAACAACTCGGCAGGCAGCACCGGCGGCCCCGTCTGGTCCACGGCGGGGGGCTTAGGCAGGCCACCCAGCCAGCCGGACTTGCGGACGGAGGCCATCATAGCATTGAAGCGGGTAGACGGAGCGCCGCGGGGCTGGAGGCACATCTTGCAGAAGCCCGCGACATCCGAGTCCATCCAGGCGATGGTCTTTTCAAAGTTCTCCTCGTAGTTCTTCATGTAGTCCCACTGGCCGAACTCGTACTGGTCGGCCGGGTACAGCGCGCGGTTGACGAGGGGCAGGAAGCCCGGCCAGCCGCGCTCGATGGTGTGGAACGGCACGCAGAGGTTGACGAGCGCCTTGACGGCGTGCGGGTGCTGCGTCGCGACGGACGAGGTCACGCCCGCGCCCCAGTCGTGGCCGACCCAGATCGCGGCGTCGCGGCCTGTGTCGCCCAGCAGGGCCATCATGCCCGCGACGATGGCCTCCTGGCAGTAGTCGTCGGCGACGCGGCGGGCGGTCGATTGCCCGTACCCCGGCATGTCGGGGGCGACGACGCGGAAGCCCACGGATGCGAAGGCTTCGATCGCGGCCTTCCAGGTGATGGCTGTGGCGGGCCAGCCATGGACGAAGATGATCAGGGGGCCGATGGCCGGGCCTGCGGCGAGGTAGTGGATGGTTTTTTCGTCGGCGTAGGCGACACTGTGGTCGGTGATGGTCACCATGATGCCGGTTGCGAGATTGGAGGGGAGATCGGTTCGCTATTCACCTTTTTTATTGCTGGAGGTGGGGTAAGATTTTAGTTCTTGAGTGTCGTTGGCCCCCAAATCATGACAAAGCACTTCTGACTGCTTATTTATCACAAGTCATGTCGCCGGTTACTCTGTTGACGGTTTCTGGATAGGTATAGCGATAGGCTCACCATCTTGAGAATCGCGTCGCGGTTGCACCCAGGGAGGTTTGTGGAGTCGCGTAGACCCCGAGGAAGCCATGAGAACTCCGACTCTAAGAGTTACCAGTACATTGCTGGTATCAAGGTGAAGTGATTGATGTGATCTGATCAGTAGTCGTTGTATACGAGATCATACTGCTGCGATCAGTTGATGCCTGAGGCAGCACTTCAATAGGGCCTGGAAACATGACATCAGACTGCATGGGGTTCTCCTCTGCCTGACTCTGGATGTATCCCGTAGTTACTCCGAGTGCGATGAACGGTGAATACACCGATGAATGCCCTAGTAACAGCCGATGCAGGATGTTTCAGGCGATCAATGATCTGCTCCACCGGTCCACCCGAATGTAAACAGTCGAGTGGAGTCGAGTCATGAGATGACGGAGAAGGTGTGCTGGGCAGTCGAAAACCTGGTCACCACAGGCAACATCGGCAAGATGACGTGTTGGGGTTCAAAGCGTCCTGGGGAAGATGGCCAGCATCCAATGGAGGGGTCTCTCTGGTGGGAGACGTTGTATAGATGCGCCGGGGTCTACAGGGCGGCTGGGGATGGGCATGTCTGAACACCGAAAGGGTCCATAGTGATAGTCTTATGGAGGGACGCGTAACGGGGGTCGAGGTGCAGGATGCTGAGGCTCGTGGCGTCAGCGTCGATCCATGAGGTGATGGCTGGGGGGGGATGACAACAAGTGCTGTTGGGTGAGATGTGCTGTAGTTAGTACTTGGCGATGAAGATCTTATCAGAGATGGAGAGAATAATAAGAGAAGAAGGTGAAGTACCTGGTGGTTATGTACAATGGATGCCATGAATGGACGGAAGCTTGAATAGGTAGAGTGCTATTCTTAGAACGAGGGTGGCTGATTGGCCGACCGGCCCAGAACCGCGGGTGAAACAGAGTCGCTATCGGGTTGCATCTAGCGACGGGATGATTGGCTGTTTCTTATCGTTACTTTCATAAATTCATCTCTGCTTAATTTAAGAAATTTTTCCACCCTGATGAACCCACCCATGGTTATGTCAGCCAGGGACCACGGGTGGGTGGCACGAGACGCTCGATCGGCACCCACCTTCCCCCGATTCGGACCTGCCCGTGCTGACAGGGTGGGGCGCCCATCCAATCAAGCACCGCTGCCGCCAACACTAACGGCGATTAAATTTCCACTAATTTCCAGGGCCAACGGGGAGGCAGAATATCTCACTGTTACCGTTTCCTCCTTTTTCTCTTCCGTTTCTTCAGCTACAACTTCATTTATTCCTCACCTCTCCTCCTCCTCCTCCTTCTCTTCCCCTTCTCCCCGTTCTCCTCCTCCACACTTGATCCCCATACTGTCGTCCATCCTCCGCCTTTCCCCCGTCAGGAGCCAGCCAGTCACTCGTTCTCCTCCGAGCTTCTCCTGACTTGCGACGCGTGTCTCATTGGGTCGATACACCAACCCGTCGCCGTACGGAACAACAGCTCAACCCACTCAACTCGCTCCTCCAAAAGCTCCTCAATCAACATGAAATCGGCTCTCCTCCTCTGTCTGGCTCCGACGATAGCTCTCGCGGTCCCCGCGGAGCAAGTGCCCGCCGTAGCCCCCAGTCCCTCCGTCCCCAACATCACCCCACCCATTCCGCTACCCGCTGTGGCCGACGATGAATCTCACGCCCTTCCTGTCGACGTTCGTCAGATCGTGCCGGTCCTCAACCCCGCCAATGCTGCTGGCTCCGTCGCCGAGGACCCTGTCGCAACCCCCGTACCCGATCAATGGCCCGCCCCGTTGCGGGGGTCCATCGGCCTGGGCTCCCTCCGAGCCTCGACGGGCATGACCAAATCGCTGCGCGCGCGCAGCGAGGGCACCCTGGGCCAGACGCCGTGGATTGGAATGGCCATCGGGCTGACCTGTACCGCGTTGGCGGCGGTTATGCTGGGGTGACAGTCTGGGCTATCCGGGGCCGGTCTTTAAATCATCTTCCGTGATCTTCCAGCGAGTGATTGCGCCTTGCCGTTTGACTTCTGTTTCGATTCGACGACCTTCGCATACCTTGCATTCGGAGTTATTCTTTCCATTCATCATCATCATCTTAACGACTTTGCAATCATCTTGCCTGATTGCGCCTTTGTTTCAACGAGCGGTTGCATATCGTGCATGCATGGCTCCGCTGCGAGGTCCCCCTAATATGTTTTGGATATAGGCTAGGGGCCCTTGCGGTGGAACCCATCTTTTTTTCTCTTCAGTTACATTCTTGTTCGTGGACTGCTGTTCAGCCGGTTCCATACCCACCTTGTTTGTATAGACTGGGGTTTGCTACGTTCTACGTGTACATGATACCTACTTCGCCTACCTTACTTGTTTCGATTCCGGTCGGTCGTGATATACTCGGTCGTCGATGTATCTAGTGAGCTATGCATGATGATCCTTAATCAATAACCTTGACAATTGAGCCTCTTTGATGTGCATCTAATCCATTCACACCACCGCACCACAACAGACAATTACTTCCCCATCGCTATAAACAACCGATCCCCGATATCCCCCAGCCCGGGACGGATCATGCCGCGCTCGTCGCACTGCGCATCCACGCTACCCACCCACACTTCCACACCCTCGGGCCAACACTCAGCGGCGCGCCGCACCCCGGCGTCCGATCCCAGCACGCTGAGCATGACCACACGCTGCACGCCCCAGTCGTGCAGCAGTTGGATGGCGGCCTCGGCGGTGGCGCCCGTCGCGATGACGGGATCCAGCAGGATAGCCGTGTTGGCCGCGGCAGTGTTGACGGCGTTCGGCGACGACGCGCCCGGTCGGTGGAAGGGGAGATTGTTGTAGTACTCCACCGGCTGGAGCGAGAACTTCTCGCGGAACAGTCCGAGGTGGTAGATGGGAACGGGGGCGGGGAGGAGGTTGTTGATTGCTGGGGAGTGTTACCATCTTTCATTGTCTCATGATACGGCAGAATCTAGTCTAGGACTCGGGAGATATACCCTCGATCATGCCCAGTCCTGAGCGGAGAATGGGCACCAGAGCCACGTCTGCGGGCTCAATGACTTGGGTTTCGTATTCGGTGCCTAACGGCGTGGTGTCCTTATACTTCGGTTAGTTGGAGCTATCTAATCTCGACACTATCCACGCCGTACCGTCCCTCCTTTGACAGTTTGCAGGGAAGCGGCAAAGGCTTCCACGCCCAGGATGGTCGCAATCTCATGGACGAGGCCGCGGGTTTCGCGCGTGCTGGTGGACTTGGAGCGCAGGAGGGAGAGCTTCGCCTGGAGGCAGGGGTGGGCGGAGATGTGGACGTTGGGAGGGAGGGCCATGGTGAAGGAGAATGGAGAATGGAGTATAGTGGAAGAGAACGGAGAGGGGGAGGAGAAGAGAGGAGAGGTTGGAGAGAGAAGAAGTGAGGGGAACAAGTCACCTGCCCTGCGGTGCTACCTGACATGGATGTACCTCTCCCTATCAATCGCCCGTGAGGAGTACTTCTTATCTTATCGCGGCTGACTCAGCCCTCCTCACCACCATCATCGTCACTTTCTTCTGCTATCTCCATCTTTTCTCCCCTTCAACACCTCTGCACCCAACAATGCGACTATACATCCACCATCTCCCCCGCCATGTCGTCCCCTCCTCCCCCCGACCCCGAGTCCTGTCCCGTTGAGACCACCGCGCCGCCTCCCACGTCCGAGGCCGCCCCGCAGCGCAATGTCTGGTCGTCGTCAGGATACAACCTCCCGCCAACCACCGACAAGCCAGCAGGAGGGCCCCTCGAGCGAAACCCCTCGCGACCGGCCTGTCAGTCTGCGCCGCCATCCAAACACTTCACCCGCCTCTTCACGCTCTCCTACCTCGTCTTCTTCGCCATCTTTGGCACCCTCGCGCGTCTCGGCCTGCAAGCCCTCACGTTCTACCCCGGCGCGCCCGTCGTCACCGGCGTTCTCTGGGCCAATAAACGGTGGCTCTCTCCTGATGGGCTTCTTCCTCGAAGACAAGAACCT